CCGGCCGGGAGGGGTACAGTCTCACCGGGAGGAATCCCTCTCGGCTGTTGAGACTGTACAGTCTCAACAGCCGGGAGGAATCCCTCCCGGCCACCAAGACTGACTACCGTTTTCCCCACCATCTCAGCCACCAGTTTGGGCTCGACTAATCCAATCAAGAAGGATAAGACCAATAGGACCGGGTTCTTGGCTCCACTCAACGGGATCTTGCCTAGTCCAAGAACCAAGCTTGTATTCAGTTTGGCGTTTGAGTTCAGTAAGAATTCATCCTCAATCGGCATGCGCAAGAAATGGAGGATACACTCTTCCTTCGTCTTAGTTCCCCCTACGTGTTGCACAATTTTCTCCCAGTCAACCTTTGTGAAGTGAAATGAAGTATCAAGTCGCGTCAGTTCAGGTAGACTGCTGTGGTACAGTGATAGCAAGCGGGCCAAACGCACCTGATAGTTAATGATCCCCCACTGTTCCAAGAAGGCATGTACCCTCATGATTGCGCAGACATCACCGGCCAGGTTTTGTCTACAGGCGGTGACGGTTAAGTATTTTTCGGATGGGTTGAGACAATAACTGTTGACGATAAAGTCGCGATAGTCCTTGTAGATTGAGGGCACCTTGGAACAATTTCTTCCATTGAAAAACTCGGGTAACGATTTCTTTTCCAGGGGATTCAGTCTTGGTGGCCGAGAGGGATTCCTCCCGGCTGTTGAGACTGTACAGTCTCAATGGCCGAGAGGAATCCCTCCCGGCCACCAAGACTGAGTCCTGATGGCCAGGAGGGATTCCTCCTGCCATCGAGACTGTACCCCTCCCGGCTGGGAGGGGTACAGTCTTGTGAAGAGAGAACAGTGAAGGGAGAACTTTATTCTCCCTTCCCCTCCCAATGATGGCGTCAGGAAGGGCGGGTTCGTCTGCCCACCCTCCCTGAGGGGCGGGTTTGATTGCACGCCCCTTTTGGAGGGGCGGGGGCGTGGGCGTGCGGGGAGGGGGGAGGAGTGTGTTTATCAACGCCCAACAAAGGGGGGTGTTATTGGGCTTGGTATATTGATTGTATGCTGAATAATTTTGAAGTAAGGTTGAGGCCTGACAACCCAGGACCACTCACAAGACTTCCAAATGGGGGTCGGTTGGAGTGCTCACTCAACTGGGTAAGGGAAACCAAACTAGGATCAAGCTTCCAAATTAAATAGGGGAAATGTTAACCAATCTTGAGTTCAAGGCAAATACAGATAGTAAAAAAGACAACACAGGGGAAATGGCTCACCTGACTGATGAACATTGAGGCTGTATACATATCAAAAGAAGGTGTTTGAGACTTTGGGCCTTTCTGGGTGATATTCTGGATGTGAATGTGGAATACATGGCAGAAGGGCCTATGTATATCAGACAGAAGGATGTATGGGGGGGTCAAATGTGGGAGTTTAACTTTATTTGAAGATGTTTTATTTTAGGGAGGACCATAAGCCAAAAAATCTATTGTGAATGATGAATATGTTTCAATTTTATTGTTCACCTTTTCCTTTGACCTTTTACCAGACTTTGTTTGAATTAAATTGTTAGATGAAATTGTAAACTCGAAATCTTAAATCCAGCAAAAAACAAAGCAAAAATAGTTTCAATTTGTATCAACGCTTTTTCATGGCCGGCAAGATCAGAAACATGATTTCAAAGGACAACAAAGCTTAGGGATAAGAACAAAATGTGTTTGATCCAATATTGAGCAAATATTGGGAGGAGGCTTGGACCCTTCAACCCATCCATATGAAACCAATCGTACTGATTATAATCCTCTCACAAAAAAAAAGAATCTAGCTGTTTAAAGTGAGAGATCCCAAAGAAACGGTGCTTTTATAAATACCTTGGAGGCGAATGGGCTCGAAGTTGGGCAGCATCTGATTGTTGTACAGCGACAAAGAACCAGGTCATGAACAAGATGATGATTGCGACAAATATTGTAATTTCAAGGCGAGTCAGTATGATGTCACGTCGACTTCTTGGAGCTGGCAGTGGAGTTCGGGGATTGCGAGATTGCTGATTCAGTGTGGCACTTGAAACGGGATCGGCAACCCTACACATTGGACAGGTGTCATGCTCTTTTAGCCAAGCCTCTATGCAAAGTTGGTGGTACTTGTGCTGGCATGAAGCCAAGACCCGGAGAGGCTCATCATCTTCCATGGCATCCAAACAGATCGCACAATCTACTATTCTCGAGCTGGATGGTGGAATACTGTTAGATTTTTCCAATGAGCTCACTTCCTGTGGAACACAATGCATATCTAGACCAAGGGGTTGACTATGAGTTTCCAAGTTGCTGGGTGAGTGAGTTGATTGTTCTGCTGGCTGGCCGTGAAGGACAATGACCACTGGTTGGGAGCTTTGCTCCTAAAAGCCACAAACATTTGAGGAATGTGCACAGCCAGTGACTTGAGCAAGACACACCCATCTAATCTGGAACCTGAAGTTACTACTCACTTGATCGACACGACTCAACTCATGTCCTGTCACTTTTTCTGAGCTCGCCATGTGCCTGGAAGAAGAGCGTATTCCTGCCTCTTCATCCACCCAATGGAGTGAGCGATCCATTTCCCAGCTAGGGTTGCTTCCTCGAAACCCAAGAGGCCTTGAGCTCTGTGGTAGATCCATCGCAAGGTTTAATGTGCCTATCACAAGCTGTGCATGAGGAACACATTCTTCTTTTAGCAGATGTTAAATCATAGTAAGAAATTCAATAGTGACCAACCATAAGTGGAAGTACCGCGGAAAACATGGTGGAAAAGTTCATGATTGATCGTCGAAGTTGATGTGTATGTCAAGCCCTGGAAATCCCCCCCCCCCTGGAGCTCAATTAAACACACATCATAAAGCACAAAATGTCGGGCTCTGATCTGCAAACATGGACAGTTTCTGGCACGCTTGTATCAGGCCCTGCTACCCTTTCAACCCGCAATTCTCGGCTGGACCTGCAAGCCGCAAGTGTCTAGAGTCTCGAACTTAACACAAGTCCCTCCGAGGAGCTCACGAAGCGACCCCGGAGGGACTTGTGTTAAGTTCCCTATAATAAAGTCTACAGATGTTCAAATCCGTTTTTGAAAACCATTATTTTGCCTATATGTATTTCGATCAAACACACATCTGAATCCCATCCGCCGCAGTAAGAGAGCCTCCAGGGAAACAGCAATGATACATGGAGATAATGATACCGAGTCTGGATGAGAAACCGAGGTCTGTTCTAGACACCGCAGGCGAAGTTGATTGCTGGAGTCCCGTGAGGTGTGATACAGAGGTCTTGTGTGTGGGGTTGTCCCTCCCCTCCGGGGCGCTCACGTATATAATATGTAGGCTCGACTGATGAAGGTGACCTCACTGTTCCCCGCTTTCCTCCTTGAAATGCCGGCCCCCAGTTGTACTATGTAAAAGACTCAAATGCGCACGGCCGGCTTGGATGATAACAGCCTATGTGTTTGTACGGGGATGAATATCAATTTTCCTTTCTCTGCAATCGAGCCAAAGAATGGTCAGAGAGCAATCCGTAAATAGTCCGTTCAATTTTGTTCTTCGATGGCGCTGAGCAATCGGTTTCTCAATTACCGGAGATTTGTTTCCCCGCCATGAGATCGTCGCAAGAGCCCCCCACCTACTTTCCCGAGCCAACCCCCCCGTTTTACAAGAGATAATTATCTGAACCTTTCGACAAGTATGTATCATCAAGAGTTATACATATTCATAAAGGGCCTGAGACGAAAAAACCAATTTTTAAAAAAAATATCTTTCTTGCTTAGAAATTTCACATCCTCACAAGTGACCATCAGTACGAGCCCATTTGAGGGTCCAAAAGTGAAAAGAATTTCAACAGCATGTATTAATTGAATTCTATGTAGGGTAGAGGCCCTAAAGCTACATGTTGAAATGATAAGGAGAAAAAAAAAAGTGGGCCGTAGGACGAAGACAACAACTTGCGCAAAACACAAAGAGTTAAGAGAAATCGAAGAAAATAGAACTTCTATATATATTTTTTTAAAACAAAAAAAACCAGAACGTAAATAAAAAAAAACTGCTTAAGAATTACTACCTGACCCGCTAGCCCTTCTACCATTAATATTGATGTTCTTATTCTTGTCATAGACAAAGTTAGGGATATAAGAATTGCCGAAATATCTCGGATTCCTAGCGAATCGATCATGACTATTAGCACGATTGAGATATCGATTTTTGAAGTCATAATTAGAGACGATTGGCGAAGAATCGATGAGTTGGTTAGCGGGACGATCGCGTTTGCCCGACTGGGGATGATAAGCATGTCGAGCGCCTCCGAGCAAGTACGGATTATCTTCGTATCCAAGTTCGTTCAAGTGACGCGATTTAGAATAGGCTTCTTGTTCGATATCTTTCCGCAAGATGGACACGTCCGAAACCGATTCGTCTCCCTGCTCTGAGATCACTCTGAACGCAAACGCATTCGCTCGGACTTGGATGTCGTATCGAAGCGCAACCATGAACCCATGGACGTCCAGGATCCTGTCGGCATTGGCTTTATGCTTCAACATCCACTCCGCAAAGATCTCGAACTGGTACACATCTCTTAAAGTCGCATGGAAGTTCCTATGATTCAACGTCCACGATTTGAAGTCTTGGAGGATCTCGTCAGGGTACGGATAGCCGTAATAAAACAAGCCTTCATGATCACCATCATCATCATTTTCAGAACTCGCTTCGCCTTCAGCGCGCTGTCTGGCTTCGTAAGATAGAGCCGCCCTTTGCCACTTCGGATTGAAGATCGTCAACGGGAGAGGAGAGCTTAAGGTCCTGACCTTGTCCTCAAAGAATCGAGAAAACAACTTGTCCGAATCGCTTGTAGGTTCTTGGACACTTGGCCAGATACTTCTAGTCGAACTTCCAATGCCCGGTCCCGCTAGAGCCGTTCGAGCGCCAGAATCAGGTAATAGACGCTTTTCCGCAGAATCCGTCTCACGACATCTTTTGTTTGACGGGGTCGCAGCCGCTTCATCCCCAGCCCTGTTGGCTCCAACTACGGGAGCAGACGTGATCGGGTGCTTGCTTCCCGCCTGAAACCATTCTTTACTGTCTTCCATGTCTGGCTCCGTCTTGACAATATAAGGCTTGTGTTGGTTCTGACTAGCAGCTTGCTGATCGTTTCCAGTTTCGAGTTCCTTCTTGATAACCGGGCCATCTTTGTTTTGACTAGCTGATGCATTCACAAGTCTCGATGCTCCTGGTCCCGCCGTATCCTTGGGTTTCTCAGTCCCATGAGGCGTTTTCTTCTTGAATTTCATCGATCTGAGTGAAGCGCTTGCTGTTTGAGCTGTTGAAGGATGCAAGTCTATGTTAATATATATATTAGAGTAGATGATTTGAGCCAGTTCTACCGTCGCAGTTCTCAGCTCACCTTTGTCGGTGTTACGAGTGCTCAAAACAGCCGGTGTTGAAGCTGCCATCTTTGGTGCTGGACCTATTTAGTCAAGGTTTAGTGAGCTGAATCACTTCAAAATACACATGGTTTTTTTTTTTCGACAGCATACCTTGAGGAATCGTTGGCTTGATGTCAGCGATCTTCCTGAGCTTATTCGAAGCGGGTTCGAGCTTGTTAGCGGATCCGGACGCGTCCATGTTTGGGGAAGGTAAAGAGGCATTGGGTCTTTTAGTGGTTGTTGTGGGCTTCTCAGGCGCTCGATGGAGCGAGACAGGGTGGGATGGGGGTGGTTTCTCTTGGTGGATGGTATCCCCAAGAGTGTTGGAGGATGGTTGCTTGATGGGATCGACCATGGCGGAGTTGTGGTAGTGAAAAGTGCGGATGAAGAAGTAATCCAGCCAGGGGACTTGGAATGGAGGCCAGCGTGGTTGAGAGTGCTTCTATACTCACCAGCAACCTTTTCATGTAGTCCACGTGAAAAAAACAAGCAATTAAACGTCTTGATATGCAATGAAGAGCACAAGCATTTAAATACAAAAAAAAAGAAGCAATCCCCGGAGTTCCCTGATTATGTAGAGTGATCTCTCCGAGTGTGGGTTGCTGATGATCAGTTGGGTGAAAGTTGATGGTCTTCTGCTTCACATAAGCCATCTCGACCCATTTGTGCTGAATAAGCCGATCTGCACAGCAATATTTGACCATGGAATCTGTGATGAATACATCTTATTTGCCCACAAGAGCTCTCATAAGTCTCTCCTTGGAATTTATTTTGATCAATTCATTAGACTCATCAGGATTGATCATCATTAGACACTGGGTATCAGAAGAGACACTTCAATATAATCAATCAAATATCACAAACTGTCCAAACAACTTAAGGTAAACAAAACCCAGTATGATTCCGATAGAAAGAATCGCAAACAAGAGCTCAAGGACAAGTCCTACTATCAGATCTAGAGGATCGATTTCTACCCCTGCGCTTATCATTCCTATGGATGAAGTTAGGGTCGAAAGATCTGCCCTTATATCTAGGATTTTTAGCGAATCTGTCGCTACTACTGAGCCGTTTCCTAGGCCGATCTTGAATAGTCGTTATAGTGGGTTCTTCATCCTGATGAGGGTCGGGAAGGAGGGTGATACGCTCACCGGAGATCGGGTCATAACCGTGCCTGGATCCGCCGGGCAGATACGGATTATCACGGGATCTAAGTTCGTCGAATCGTCGGGACCGACAAAACGCATCTTCCTTGATGTCTTCTCTGAGGATCGAGATATCGGACATCGATTCGCCCTCCTCAGTCTGGACCCGATACGCAAACGCATTGGCGCGGACGTGGATGTCGTATCGAAGCCCGGCCATAAAACCATGTCGTTCAACTATCTTGTCCGCATTCGCCTTGTGGAGAACCATCCATTCTGCAAACGTCTTGAACTCGTAGACGTCGCGCAGCATCCGGTGGAAGTCCATGTGGTTGAGCGTCCACTCTCGGAAGCTTTGCAGGAACTCGTTCGGGTACGGGTAGCCGTAGTAGGTAAGAAAGCCTTCTGCTTCATCAGAAGAGCTCAAGTCCCCCTCTTCCTCCCGCTGTTTCTCTTCGTACAAGAGCGCCGCTTTCCGCCATTCGGGGTTGAAGATGGTCAGCGGAATCGGCGATTTGAGGGTTTTAAGTTTCTGATTAAAGAATGGCGTAAACAGCATCATCTCCGGAGAGACAGCTTTTTCGAGTCCAATCATCGTGCGTCCACTCGTTGGCCGCCCCGAAACCGTCACAGGGGACGGGTTGGGTAATGGAAGCTTAATGGCCCTCATCGTCGTGTACCCCATCAGCGCACGGAATCTGTTGTATAGCGCTGTCGCAGTCACTTGGTCTCCGGATCTGTCGGCTTCAACCGCGCGCGCCCAGATGATCGACTGTTCTCTGGACATTTCAACGAGCTCCTGGCTGTTATCTTCGGTGTCTGGTTCCTTCTTGACCATAGTGGGATTTCTGTCTCGGATAGGCCTCTGATCATCTTCAGTATCTGCTTCCTTCTTGACAAGAACATCATCTTGGTGTTGATTAGACTTCTGACTCTCTTTGATTTCGGGTTGCCTCTTGGTGAAAGTAGCATATTCATTCTGATGACTAGCGGGTACGCGACTCAACGATCCAGACATCATCGATTTTACTGCTTTCTCAGTCCCTCGAGGTGGGTTCTTTTTGAATTTCATCGACCTGAGTGAAGCGCTGGATATTGAATCTGCTGAAGTATATGCAGGCTTTGATCACTAATCGAGTAGATCTACATAGTTGTCATGGCATCTTCTGACTCACCTTTGTCGGCGTTATTAGCGTTTAACACGGCCGGGTGTGATCCTGCCGTCTTCGGCGTTCGACCTACAAAATATTTTTGAAACGTTCAATCACTCGAATCACACAAAGACTAGCCATGGGCTTCAAGACATTTATTTACCTTGATGAATAGTCGAGTTTGCGTCAACGACGCGACGGGCCTTATTGATGGCAGGTCCGACTTTGAGAGATGATTCGGCGTTCACGGAAGGTAAAGCTTCCATGCAGAGATGTGATCTTTTCATTGTTCCTTTGGATGTAGATCTAATATCCGGTCCTCCATTAACCGACGTGGGACGTGCAGCCGGCGGGGGGTTTGGCTTGACATCTCTCCGATTGGACGTCGATTTCCTGGCAGCAACCATTGCGAAAGTATTAGGTATGAGTGTTTCTCAATGGGTTTGGATGAGCAAAAAAGATGTAACTGGAGGAGGACTCGTCAAGTCATTTGCCGAGTGCGGGCGGTCCGGGAGGAATTCCTTTGGGATTCCATATTCCTGATGAATTTGTATGGGAGCCATGCATTAATGTACAGCAATTATTTGGACCTGTACACCACCGGAGCACCTCGACGCCAAACCGTCGAGGGTTCTGACGGGCAAACCGACCTCCCCCGACCCGGCCAAACCTTCCTGTCTGCCGACGTCAGTTAGGCAGCTTTGCGGCCAGGGAGTCGGGGTGGTCAGGGAACCGACCCATGTCTGCCGGGCGGGCAGTGCGTCGGCATTGGTCAACCCGCCTGCATATTGACAAGTGTCTCAGGGGGCTGAGACGCCCTGAGATTATGGATTCATGGTCTTGCAGGCGGGCCGACCGGTGGTTGCGGTCCGGCCGCCGGCTTTATATTGGGCAGACGTTGGTCATACCGCCGACGATGACACCTGCCTTTGATGCTCGTGCGATTATGGCTTCTGGTGTCCTGCACGTGGATCGCGGTCAAGATGCCGTCGGGTTCTCAGATCGACCCTTCGGCTGGGACAATGCTGTCTAGCCGGACGACTGCGGCTGTGGGTCGGTCCGGTGCATCAAATCATGGGCGGTATCAACCGCGGTCCGGATAATATCTGGTAGCCACTGCAACTGGTGGGCCTTTTTTGTTTTTGCTTGGCATTTTCAGTTTTCAGACAGATTGATTCTTGTATTTTTGGTCATTTATGGCTCACATCGACAACAGGCAAATCGGACTAAGCAGGCAGACACGGGCAAGCAGGCAGGCAATATATGTTGGAAACGAGATGAGATAGAAACATGATGGAAAGCAAATAGAAACATATGGATAGACAGTAGGCCAATAACTTATATGTATCTGAGGAGGTCGAGACGGACAAGGAGACACAGACAGGACAGTGCTTCTTACCTTTACCTAAGGGTTTGTAGTGGATGCGGTTGCATCGAGGTGAGATGGTCGCCCCGCTGGAGTGCGGTTCAATCGGGCCACCTCCTCGGCGACCTTGTCGTCTGTTGGAAGGGTGATACACTCGCGATTGATGTCTCCTATGTGCTTGATCCCATCAAAGTACTGGGCGTCTTTGCGCATAACGAGTTCAATGTGCCTGCGGGGCCAGAAGGGTTGGGTAGTTGATATTAGGTTTAATTAACGTGTTGGGACTGCCCATGAGGAAATGGGTGAGATGGGACTTACGCTTGAATCATCACCGGACTGAGACCCGAGAGCATCTCCAGGTGCCTATCAATGATTTCCCACTGGGAGAGTGTTTGCCCGGGGGGTCGGTTAAGGTAGTGATTGACCGCTAAAAGTCGCAACATGGCAAACCGGAACCTGACGGCCCGGGTGGCCCACCTGTTGAGTTCGTCTCGAGGGAGTGCATGGTGCCTTCGCGTAAGTCCGTTATTGATTAGCACGACGAGGTCAAAGAGCTTCGGGATTGGGCCAGGCGGGCGAACTCGAGGTTCGGGTCGGACTTGGATGAGCAGCTGGGTGTATACTCCATATCAGCATGCCAAATCTGTGGATATGCTCTACTCAGGGTGATTGGGTCTTACCAAGTTGCGAAGTGTGGTCCGCTCGTGTTTGACCATGGTGCGGAGGAACTGATCAAGGTTCTGCACGGCTTCTGGGTTGTTGTCGGCTAGTCCAACGGGGAGGTGGGTTTGCCGCCACACAGGGGGTTGGGCCAGAACTTGGGTCTGGGCCCGATGCTTATCAGCTTTGGCTCGGGTGATAGATAGGCTGAATGATTAATCGGACTTACTCGGATCAATGCCAGCGGGGCATGGATATACATATCGCCATTCAATGCGTGCGTCCTGGTGTAGGCGGCCAATGTATGGTCCTTGAGCAGGTTGCGTATTTTGGTGCGCGCATATTCCTAGGGGGCATGACGATGCACAGGTCGTCAGTACCATGGTTTGTCAGTGGAGCAGATGAGGGGGTGCACTCTGGCTGGGTATGGGGATACTCTGACTCACCCGGATGAGAGGTCCGTACACATGGCGACCGGGCATTGGTTCTGCAGTGGGCATTGCCCCTCCGCGCTGCATTAGCATGCTGACCATGCTTGCAATGCCATCGGGGCTCTGGGCAATACGCATGCGGATAAGGTGTCAGATCGACTCAAGCGACTGGGACACACTCATTGGGAGACTTACCTCCATGTATCGGCGGATGGCCTCGGTAGTGATGGGTGCACCCTGGCCCAACGGTGGGTTGGCCCCGGCGTCGGCGGCTTGGTTGCCTGGGGGGGGATCTTGTCCGACTAAGTCCTCATGGGCTCTGGCGCCGGTTCCGGCGGCGGGGGGGATGTCCAATAGGTCGAGGGGAGGGGGGAGGGGTGGGGTCTCGATTCCGGTGCCTCCTTGGGTTGCACCGCGATGAAATAATTCAGTCGGCCGGCCTGCGCCATGTTGACTGCCGGTGGCGTACTGGTTGGTCATCCCTTGTTGCATTGCCTCGGAGAAATCGTTGGGGTCGTTGTAGTCTCCGAGGTCGGGGCCTTCATTTTCGTCTTCTCGCGGTTGTTGGGCCCCGAGGCTATCGTGCTGACCACCGCTGGGGTTGCGGTGGTAATTGCCCTGTGGATTGTATCGGTCTAGAGACGGCAGATGATTCAGTTATCTGTTGTGAATTAAGGTCGTTTGGATAGTGACTAACGTTGTGTTGGGCTGTGACGCAAGGCACCGCCGCGACCGGGTGTCATGGTGGCATTGGCATGACGACGTTGGATGGGGGTTATTGGGGTGGGATGGTGACCGAGGTTCATTCCGTTGCCTGAGTAATTGAGGTGTGTGGACTGCCTATTATTGAATTGGGCGGCGGGTTGGTTCATTATGTTTGATTAGTTCTTAGGCTAACTGCGCAACTGGAAAAGGATTCGGGGGGGGGGGGCAGTGGAGAACTGGTGAGTGAGGTGGGCGATGGAGAAGCAGCTGGTGTCGTCGCAGATAAGTTTGCCTATTTATACGCATCGTGGATGCACTGTTCTTCCCCAGTCATCACCGATCCGTTCCCCCTTGTCACCGCTTCTTACCTGCATTTCTGGCCTAGAAACATCATTCGGAGTTCCTTATTCGCAATCGCCCTTGGTTCCCACGTCCTCTTCGCAAGAAATTTGACATTTCGCGCCCGTGATTTGAACCTGATTCTAAGCTTTTTACTCTGCCCTGGTGGTTGATTGATATATCCTAAAACTTTGATCAAAAACATATCAAAATGCAAGAGGGTCAGCGTCGACGTGTTGGATTGTACTACGAGGAATGGCTGCTGCCGGGTCAGCAGCCGGCATATCTGTGCCAGTTGTGCAACAGTAAAAAAACCTTCCGTTCAATCAAAAATCATGAACGCTGGTTCAAACACAAAGAAAGAGACCAAGCCCGCCGCGAACGATTGCTTTTGGAGTCCCAACTTAGAGTGGGGCCGGATATCGGTCGGGGTGACGATAGTTTGGGCCGCACGCTGTCGGTCGAGCCTGTCGGTCAGGCCGACGTGCTTGCGAGATTGGATGCCGGATTTTGCAAAGATCATTATGAAACAGAGATTGACTGGCGGTCAGATGATGGGAACGGTGCAATGGAAGCTATACCTGTGGGACAAGACGACTTTGACGAGCGTTTCTCGGATCTCAGTTTGAACGATCTGGCTGAGCTCGTGCAAAGTATACGAGTCACCAAAGTAGCCGGATATATGAGCATGCCTCAAGTCAAACCAATCCACTTTTGCATGCAGGGACCATGAGTCCCCAACATCAAAGTACACGCCAAATATTCCAAGCCCCAGTAGGGTGGGGAAACTCACCAGGATACATAGGCCACCCGGCCAGCACAGGTAACATATCATCACATGGAAATCCATTGCCAATGTATCAAATGCAACCACCTGTTGTTCATGGTAATCAGCACACACCATATCCCCACCATAACAACTATCATCACCAGGACCCAAGAGCATTACACCGGACCCCCAGCAGTTCTTCCATATATAATCAATACAGACCACATGAAATGAGTTATCCATCTCATCAAACCACTCCATACCATACACCAAGAACACATTACCCACAAGATACCAGTTACCATGGCCAAGGATCAAGTAATGACCTGCAAGGGTCAAGTTACCAACCCCTTGTCTCACACTACCACCCAGATATTTCATCATTATACAATTATCCAGATCCAGCTGGGGGGGGCAATCAGCCCGGGCAAGGGTCATAAAATCAGGATCACATGATTACAGATGATCCCACTGGAGTAGTAAATCACACACCTGCCCAAATCATATACCAAATGCCAATCCATTTGCCAATTAAACACCAATAATCAGCATGGCCCTCACCAATAATAATAATTTCTTTTGTACCATAGGGCCATACCTCATAGTAATTGATACCATTTTAAATCAGAAGCCCCAATGTAATTTCACGCATATTTTCCTTAGGCACTCATCTATCATAAGACCTCATCAATCATAAGAACTCATCCGCACAAGACAGTTGTATTTCATCCCTTTTTCATTTGTGTGATCAGAGAAATGCAAGATCACATAACATCTACACGAAAAACTGATGCTGGAGATATGTACAGACTTCCCACAATGATGAGAGACCAATCCACAGTCACAAATGATATGAATTGCAAATCCCAGAGAAGCAACCAAAATGAAATAAGGAAGCTAGCCAGCACCCGGATCAGGTGCTGCGGCAGGCCTTAAGAGACCCAGACTTCTTAGACACTACCTCAACGTCCGGCGAAGACGATCGGACTTGCTTGATTGTTTCGTAATCCTTGGATTTCCAGGACGAAGGTGGGCCATCCAGCATCTCGATTCCCGAAGACGATGGAGGATCGTCGCGAGCGACCCGAGAGCCTCTGATGTTTGAAGAAGAGGGCCCACTGATAACGCCTTCAGCTGCAACCAAGCTCCTCTGGCCGGATGAAGGAGCCTTGACCCCATTGTCTTGACGGGGGCTTGACAGAGGTGGATCGACCGCCGGTCCATCGGAGTTGAAATCGGAAGACGCAGGCCACTCGTGTACTGATGAGGATCTAGCCGAGCTTGAATGATAAGACGGGGACTCCACCAACGGTGGCGTGGGGGTGGTCGACGAGGGGGTATTGATGACCCAGCTGGAAGGAGAAGGTGGCGGCTCAACAGTTGATCGAGTGCCAGTCGGATCTGGCGTGGGGGAGGTTGCCAACGGCAAAGGTGGCGGCTCAACACTTGATCGAGTGGAAGTCGCCTCCTCGCCTGCATCGCTTCCCGGGAGTGGCGCCCCAAGAACAAAACATTCCTCTGGGGGAGGAGGGAGTGCCCCGTTACGCACAAAGGGCACAATAACCTCGTGAGGCCAAATATGAGGAATCCAGGTCCACTGGGAATCGGCCCAACAGAGACATCAGCTACCATTGATCAGACCCAACAAGCCAAAAAGATAGTCACCCACGTAGCTCCGGTTGCCAATAATTTGCGCCGGATCATCCATGAACAACCTCAAGTGGCACCTCATAGGGAGTGCCGCGAGGGTAGCCATCTGGGCAAAATTTGCGTAATTTCGGACAACATTCATGTTACGGGGTGTCGGTCCGCCCGGACAAGTACGATAACCGCGCCACTGGAGTTTGTTGGCCGCATCCGCCGCTCGCAATACCCTCGTGAAGTCAAAATCCGAGCGGGTGGCGCCAACCGCTTCAATCACACATCGCCTGAAGTCCCGAAATGCCATGTGCTGGAAAGGAACCTCGCATGGTGGGATGGGGACAACATCCTCGTCGTTCGTGGTGATACACTCATGGTGGTATTTCCAATTATCGGGGGTCCGCGGCTCTTCCGAACGCCTAGCATAAGAAGGTGTGCCATTGGGGAAGAGTACTCTGTGCTCCACCCAAACTTGGTAGGAGAGGTAAATGATCGGGTATCTAATGCGGGGTCCAACCGCCATGATGGCGGGCGTGATGGCCTCGGTTTCTTGATGTTGGCCAGTGTCAGACATGGTTGGTAAGTGCCGTCGTGACTTAAAGGACCCTGGAAGTTGGGACTTATAATTATATACCAAAAAGCAGGCAGGATATCGCTCCGATCCGCACCATCATCTGGCCAGGCCCCCTCGGGTCCCACTTCATGACAGCAGGATGTCGGTCGGAGCTTGCATGGTCATAAAACCCTCAGCAGCTGGTCAATTGACAGAAGATTCTTCGTCAGAGGGTGACTGGTCGGCCCGGCATACATCATTTCAATGCCAGTCCGCCGTCAAACCACCACGACTGCCAATTGCCCGTCAGACAGCAGGCAGGGTGACCATATGGACCCAACGGTCAAACAGCCGCGAGACAACCGCGGCGGGATGACAGGCGGGTCGTACCTGACGGCATTGAAGGCAGCGGGCCGACTGACTGGTCGGCCATGACAGAGAAGATTCGGTCAGGATGACCGATGGGTCACAGCTGCCCGCATGGCACCAGCGGGGTGACCGATGGGTCAACCCCGACTGCATGAATACCGGCGGAATGACCGTTGGGTCGTCCCCGCCGGCAAGAAAGGCGGCAGGATGACCTCAAGGTCAGCCTGACGATGCTCACATGTGGCGGTTAGACGGTATGGTCAGCCCGACGGTGGGTCGACCGACGGTTCCACACAATCCCGCGGTCGTATATCTGACGACGGGTTGCTAACCCGGGGCAGCTTAAAGTGCTCTGGTGGTGTATTTTTTAGCAGGATTTCCAGGGAGATCTCCGATCAGACTTCTATGTAGCCGCGTCCGGATTGAGCACAATCTTATCGAGAACTTCGATCTTATCCGTCGCCATATGTATTACTCATGGCTGACTATGTACTCAATCAAACAACTTTAGAGAGAAGGGAAGAATCTATCATATGTATGGCACATCTGCAGCCCTTTCGAACTAACCAGAGACAAAATGGGTACGTGGATCACATACGACCCGAGAAAAACCACGACAAGACAAGTAAAAAAGAGCGTGAATAAACTCGATCCATGCTAAACGGGTACGTAAATATCTGATACAATGCATCCATTTATATTATATATATTCCTTTCAATTGTGCGTTGTAGATACCCAAACATCATCTACATATAACTAAAAAAACAGCCTCAGAGGGCCAAACAAACTGTCAGCCTTTGTATTGATTTCTCATGCGGCTTCTAACGCCGGCGTCGATATTTCACATTTCAATGTCATTTCTGACATTCACTAAGACTTTACAATCATAGTGACCTTCAAAATCGAAGGCTATTACACCATAGGACCTTAAACAAGTAAAACCCCCAACATCCGGGGCAAAAACAAGCAGCCTCCCCAAATTTGGGGGCATATACTAGTCTACATATAACTAAAAAAACAGCCTCAGAGGGCCAAACAAACTGTCAGCCTTTGTATTGATTTCTCATGCGGCTTCTAACGCCGGCGTCGATATTTCACATTTCAATGTCATTTCTGACATTCACTAAGACTTTACAATCATAGTGACCTTCAAAATCGAAGGCTATTACACCATAGGACCTTAAACAAGTAAAACCCCCAACATCCGGGGCAAAAACAAGCAGCCTCCCCAAATTTGGGGGCATATACTAGTCTGTTTTTATTTTTATTGGGCTTTATGTACATAGAGTCATCGATCAAGCATCGAATGGCAGCCTAATGTAGCAGACCAAAACCCGATGATAAGATTCATTTATTCACAACACAGCTTGTCCTAAGACACGTTTTTTTTTTTTTTTTTTTTTTTTTTTTTTTTTTTTCATTGACCAACTTGTTGATGTTATTTGCACATTTTTGCACACAAGAATTAACAAAAAAGAAGAAGCAACAAAAAAGGGGGGGGAGAAGAAGATATTCTTGATATGATGTGAAAGGTAAAATGATACATGATAGATGGTAGAAGAGAGACGAATCGAAAGAAATGTGTGCATTGAATGTGATGAATGGAAGTCGATTCGAGGGAGAAAAAGGAAGAAGAAGAAGAAGAAGATCAAGAAGGGTGTCTAAGACTACCGATATGATGAAGATCAAGATCGGGCTGAGCGTTGAAGGGGATCCGATTAGCGGCGAAGATAGCGCGTTTGAGTCTCCACCAGGGCTGTTTAGAGCCCACAAAGCGAAAGCGAAAGAGATAATGGAAGAGGAAAAAGCTGAGCAATTCTGAGAAGATTTGATGGAGGAGGATGCAGAAGATGCGGCCGGCCTGGGTAAGATTGGAGTGGAGGAACGGACGATCGATGGGACTGGAGTCGCATTGGAAGGGGCCGTCGATGGCCACAAAGTTGGGTGGAGGGAACCAGGAGGAGCGTCTCTTGATCTGGGCCGAGTTGCGTTCCTCGAGACTGATGAAGGACAACAACCATCGGAAGTAGAACCGTCTTAAGCGGTTGATCAGTCGGGCGAGGAAGCCGGCTGGCTTGCTCAGTCGGACCGGCGGTTGACTGTCCCGGGAGAGAAGGCATTGACGCACATGTGCATTCTCAAACACTCGATCAAAGAGCGCCATCGACGACACTTTCCAGGCCGCTTCTGATTCATCTCCAATCAATTGGGCTAGCGAAGGTGTCGGAAAAACGATCAGATCCGTAAAGAAGCCGGCCGAACCGTAGTGGATCGTCAAGGTTTCTTGGACCCATCCCGTCGCTTGATCATGATCGTCTGAAGGAGCAGGAGGAGGAGAAATGGTGATGATCTGTTGAGTTTGATCGGCCGGTTGAAGGACCACGGTCACCACGCTCGGCCGCTCTGTGCTGTTGAAGCGCTGCTGCTCTTCCTCTTCTTCTTCTTCTTCCGACAATCTATCTGGGGCTGCTTTCTCGCTGTTATCGGCCAGATTAACAAAACTACCCAAGCTCGTTAACTCGGTATCCGGACTGCTCTTTGGCGCCGGATGAGGAGTTGCCTGGAGGATCTTGGCGCTGTTCTCGGCAATTTGGTTGACTCTTCTGGTCAGATAATCGACAACGATCCGTTGGGCCCATCTCGAGCACCAATCCGCTTCTTGCCATCCAGTTGCACCTAGCTGGCCTCCTTCTTGGATCGGATTCGGACCTTTGAGAGCATACTCTCGATCGAAGACCGGTTCTGGTCTAGGATAGACATCCAACCGAGGCTTGCCCATATGTAGTTTGAAGGATTCGTAGAGGATCCTCAGGCTGGTCAGGAAGAGGACCACCGGATATTGAGCCCAGATCCGGACCAGATTCGATGTCGTGAACGGTGCGCCAGTTCCGTTGAGCGTCGCAATGAACTTCTTCTCCCCCGACTTGGTCAAGAAAACGATCTTGAAATTCAAGGAGATGGTTGATTGGCCGTCTGGTCCTCGTTTGGGGTTGGAGAACGGGTCTGATAGCGAAATCTTGTAAGAGCCCGTTCGATCGTTGAAAGGTGAGACATGAAACGCCCTGGGGATAATCCATTCATGCTGAAATCTTATGATATAGGTAATGGAAATTATCAGGGACAGCGGATGACGATGGGTGGGAATTAGTTTAAAGGTAGACAGACTGACCCTGATTGAGGATTTGGGAGCTCGTTGGTGCCGATCTTGAGGAGATAAGAGTGACGTTCAGAGAAGGTGTTTTGGACATCTAGGACCACGTACTTGAGTGGCGGATGGTTCGGATCGGATGGATCGACAGGTTTCTGATAACAAAAGTAAATACTAAGTGGGTTGATTGAAGTGAATCCTAGATAGGTAGGCATACTGAGTAGATAAACTTTTCCGATCTCTTGATGAGGATCGAGATCGAATTGAGTTTCGAGTTGATTGAAGAGTGCTAGTTTGATCGATTGGGCTTGATGTGTGTTGTTACTGGGTGTGTTTTTGAAGTAAGATGACGGAGAGATTGAGAAGATCTGGATGAGGTTTAGCCAACTGGAAGGATCGAACAGGAGTCTGAATCTGCTGGCTAGTTGATCGTTTTTAGGTTTGCTGAATCTGAACAGATGTGGTATGTCTAGTTGAGCAGCCTCAAGATGATCGAGGTCGAGTCCGAATTGGATGAGCGAATACTTGAATTGATGGGTTGAGGATGATGGTAGGAATCTAGCATGATGGGTTTGATTGATGAACAGATGAGAGTTGGAGGATGTTTTCTTGGTGATCTTTCTTGATTGGATGTCGAATATCATGAGTGCGAGCCCGATGAGCAATGGTGGTAGTATGAGGTCGGTGAGGTGGATTGAGGTTGCTTGGATGGGTATCAATGGCCGGGTGACGAGCGTTTCTGAAGGATCCATGTTTCTTGGTGTGCGAGTTGGACCAGTTGGACGTGAGTTCTGCCTGCTCTCTTCTTGTCTTTCGGATTCCAATCGGGCGAACGTTCTAGTGAGTAGGATCTCTATCTTTCGAAACTCGATGAGCTTTTAACCTGTGGATGTTCAAGTCAGTATATTGTAGATGTGGAGTGCACTGCTCTGGGAGATGACTGACCAGTGTTGTGTTGTGTTGTGGTTGGTTGTCGAGATAGTCGGAGTAAGCCAGCACTGTCGACTCAAAACACAGCCAAATATGTAACCTGTCCTAGGTCACATCAGCCTGTACAATCCCCAGACTGTCTCTTAAAATTAATGAGCTTGTTCCCCCAGATGGAACCATCTATAGTTCTGATCTTCTACATAAATAAACAAGTTCTTGTACTTCCTGTTTCTGATCTTGGAATCTGTTTTCAAGACACTATGTACAATTCTTTACGTTCTCAATGAAGTATGATTAATGGTGATTTGATCTTTGATCACTGGAACACTGACATCCATCAGATCACTCACTGTGCTCCTCATCACACACACGCCTGGTTTATTGTTTTCAAAGATAGCGATCTTGTTTATGTGTTTGGTTGTGACTGGGCATCTGAAGTATCAACCCACATTGGATTTCCACGGATCTGAAGGATGCAAGACTACAACACCCAATATATGATTTTCTACCAGAAAAGCAAAGCTAAGAACAATAGACAATCAACTGATCAATGGGTTTTCCTCGACTTGATAGCTGCTTGGCACTGATTAAGATCAAGATCCGTATCACAGTTGATTTTCCTTTTTTGAAGATGATGGACGCCGTTTTGATCCTGGCCTTGTTGATAGGACCCTAGTTTCTGAACCAATGAATCACGGAGTTGGGCCAAGATTTGCTTCTCGGATTTCCTGACGATGATGGCTTTGATCCTGCGATTCAAGCTGTCGCCAGCACGACTGTGACGGCTCGTCGAACGTAGGCCTTCCAATAACCTTTCATCCTCCTACATATTTTTTGTTTGTTTGTTTGTTTATCGAGTACAATGACTGAGCCAGCCGTTCTTTAGTCTCACAAACGAAAAATAAAGAATGCTTACATCGATCGAAGTAGGGTAATCCTTCATCCGTCGATCAATCACTTTTTGTGCCAAGGTGATCACATCCGGGTTGTTCAGCTTTGGTTTCGGTAGCTTCTCTTTCGATTTGTGATCCTCAAACTCCTCTCCAGACAACAACAAGATCTTCAGAAGACAGGTTAATTCTTCAGGCAGTAATGGGCTTCCATTCTTCTTTCTTTCCACTTCGGTTGCCACTTCGAACACACTTTATGTTTTTGCCCACAAAGATGGTGAGAAAAGTAAGTATGAGACCGATTTCCTCGATTTTTCCAATCAAACTTAAGGGGGGGTTTAATACTCAACTCATCGATTCCCATCTCTAGGGCCCAATCAAGTCGATGTTGGAGTCCTTCAGATGATACCATGGGAGCTGACTGAGAAGAAAGATGAGACTGGGCCACATCAACACAGGTTTTGATAGAGATCTCGACCACATCGAATCGGTTGGGATCATCAACATGTCCATAACGTCTTAGTAGATCCGAGTTCGGTGGATCTCCATAGGTGTTATACTTTGCAAAGAAAAAGGACAAACGTTGACCTTTTAGTCTATATTTCTCCTCCTATCATCTTGACTTGTGTGACATTTCTAACATTGTGGGGCAGGAATTGCTTACGATTTGTTCGCCTTTTTTGATATTTCTCGTTGCTTTCATCTTCAAACAATCGGTTTCGTAGAATAGTCTTGCCTGCAAGCGTATCAACCGGTAAAAATCAATGATCAAAAGATCATAATGAAACGTCGGGCTTAGCCTCATTGACGTCAGATAGATGAACGATTACTAATCAACACCTACATTTTCAGAGCCAGTCTTAGCATTGAGTAAATCGGCCAAAGGGACCATAGCGATATCCTCGACAGCTTCCCTCTCCTCATCTTCGTCTTCGTCTTCACCCTCAATCCCCAGTTCAGAGTGATGATCGAGCGTTTCTTGGATGGGCTCAGTTGAGTGTCCGTTGTCGACTGATTCGGGGACAAGACTGTGGGCGGATTCCATCGACACATCGTGGCCCTCGTCTGGATCCTCCCCGTTTGACGGGCTGGCTTCGACATGGAACGAGCGCGAGAGAACTAAGGAGCCCATGCGATGGTACATCGCTATCCCATAATTCTCCTCCCAACTCGTCCCCTCCGGAACTGGAAATAGATCCGCCCGGGATTCAATCATCGGCTTGATCACCGTCTCATAATCCTTTTCGACCTCTTCTTTTCCTATCTTATCTGTTGTTAATCAAATGATATATGTATGAATTATTATTCGGTTTCCATTTTCCATTTGGAGTGCGGTAGTCAGTATTTGTATTTTGAATTCAACACATGATGTGAAGGAAGTTTGTAGAGTAAGATTTTCTCATGACGAACATGAGTTATATAGTTATAGAGATGCGAGGAAAAGGAGAAAATGAAAGAAATACCTAAGATGGTAGAACCAGTTAATTCAGCGAGTTCATCCTGATTCCAAAACATCAAGGTATCGAACTCTTCAGGTCTAGGCTTGAAAGTGTACATAGACAGATGGACATCCACAAGTGTAGAGACAAATGAAATCAACAATGGTTTTTTTTTTTCAGTCATTTAATTATTATCAGTGTGATTAATTGAGAAAACTTAGTAATAAATAGCGCCAAGAAAAATAGAAAAGAGTGAGACCTACAGGGTATCAAAATACGGCGCCCAACGGAGGGGATCGAGAGGGTTGAGGATAGCCTGAACGCGTTCCCAGAGCAGTACGAGGAGGAGGGGGAGCCAATTGCGAGAGATACGGGCGCGTTCCTGGGCGCTCAAGACGGCCATGAGACGGGAGGTCTGGACGGACAGTAGGGGCGAGTTGGCCGAAGGTCCTGGCCGAGGAATACTGAACAAGGTCGTCCCTTTCCTGATCTCTGTCTCCGCGATCAGGCCCCAGCCTTCGCCCGTCTCCCGGAACTCGTGCGCCGAGATCGTCTCTTCAAGCTCGACTCCTCTCGCCTTCCTCAGCCACTCTAAAAACTTTTCGTATCTTCGGTCCGCCGGGCCAGTCGAGTTGTTCGAATCCATTGAAATGTCCATCCTGACCGACTGGAAGAAGACGGAGTGTCAGTACTTGTTTACTTTGTTTTCATTTTAACTGAAGGAAGGAAATATGACATTGTGTATGCACTCACAAACTTCTTGCTAAGAAAATTTCACCCACAATCGCACCACAACTCGAGTGAAAAAATGTCTGACAGGAATTCGGGGCCCCGTTTGGGCCAGAACATATCAGCTTTCTGACCTTCCCGAGAGATCCCCGAGCGGCAGCGGGACGCCCTCGGAAGCAGGCTACATGCATACGAAATTGCATGAGATCAAAAAAACAAATGGCCGGTCTTCCCCATCACCAGGTGTGCTTAAGTTCTTGCTTTGCCAAAGCACTGCTGTGGATTCCGACAACAAAGAAAACTCAATATCCACTCGACTATCGTGATGCTTAGGATGTGCGCAAAGGTGACTCAAAGGTGAGGCATTGGCTCTCTTGAGGCAGGCCCCCTACCTGGACCAGGAGAAAATGAATGGATTCCAAAAATGACGCGAATTGGCACGAGTCATCAGTCTGCACCAATGCAGACAAGAAAAAACAGGGAGGAACTTGAATATAGGAGAAGAGATACAACCAAGTTGAGAATTCGTTCATCTTCGTTACAAATGATATACTGTATATTGAGTGCCCAGTTGCTTGAAAACGGGAGATGTTGGACTCGGGTATGCGAAAACAAAGCCGAAAAACAATGTATGTTTTCAGACGACAACGACTCACTTTTCTGACCCTACCCACGCTGACACCGGCGCCGTCTTGAAAGTATCGGTCCAGACGAGGCTGAGGACGGTCTTCCTCATCATGAACGAAGATAGAATTATGGGTAGGGGCAGAAGGACAATTGGAGGTCTGAGGCTCAGAACGATAAGCCCTGAAGTGCTCTAAGGCAGTCCTCGGGTGCAGGAGGGGGTTGATTTTTGAAGGAAAGGGAGATATGCGAGACCTCTAAAGTGCGTGATCTTGGATTCGACACCGGTGGTATTCGCGGGGAAATGCTTTGAGAAGTTTTTGTTCTCACTCTCTCTCTCTGTATCTATGTAGGCCCAATGACGCCTATGGATGTCATGGGGGTCATCGCGCCCATATCTTAGGAGTCCATGAACTCGACGCAAGACTACCTCATCACGACAAAAGGAAGAGGATTGAATTTAATCCCAATCTTAGAAGTTAGAACACATGTAGGCCGATGATTGTTCTTATTTTTTACATTGGGGCATCTTTGTTGATCCTGTAATAAAGCACTGCGACACAACTGACAAGCAGAGCTCGCAATGCCAGAGATACAATCACACGGAGAGCCAGGTGATTAGGAGAACGACAGGTCAAGACTCATGACTTGATCTAGTCTAGAGATCAGTAAAGGATTTGTACATTGAGACACATGATGAACCGACCAAAGCTTCGGCTTTCGAGAGGATTATAGGTACAAAAAGCAAGAGGGAAAAGAAAGAGACAGGGGACTGTTCAGATGGTACATATATATGAAATTATGTGACGGAGAACGAGTAGAGAAGATTGTTAAGCCTTGGAGAGGATCATGATCGCCTGCTTGTCGTCGATGTGGCTCTTTTGGCCTGGGCTCTGGCTCTTCTGGCCGCAGGTCTTCAAGATGCTCTGGACGGCATCTTGCAGTGTTTTTTCCGGGCTAAGTGCGGATAACAGAACTTGTAAGCATTCTGGGAGCTGATCATCGGAGAAATGGTTAAGGCTTTACTCACAGGTCTTTGGCGAATACTTTGTCCTTCTCAGTGAAGAGAGACAGCTGCAAATTAGGCAGGTAAACTGTCAATACAGCTATCAAACAATCAGTGAAGAGATAGTGCACTTACTCTGCAGTTTCCACTGGTAGCCGAGTGAGCCTTTTCCCGGTGCAAGGTTTCTGCAGCTCTGGAAGACGAGGAAGAAAAGAAGATCAGGCGCTGAGGAAGATGGATGATGTGGGTGAGAATGAGATGAAGAGGGAAGAAGAGCGATTTACTTGGCACATTCCGACTTGGAAAAGAGTTCAGAAGCTCCCTTGTCGCTCAGACAGCTGACACTATCCGGTTCGTTGGACTCGCGACGGAAGAGGTGCTCGGCATCGAGACGGGTAGCCCGTCGGCTGACGCTGTGAGCCTCGGCCTCGGTGGCCTTGGCAAAGAACCGGCTGTACCCGAAGGGGAAGGCCGCCCCTCCGAAGCACGGGCCGTACATGTTGCCCCAAGTGGTTATCCATGGGTTGAGATTGAAAGTGTTGAAGTAGGAACCGCTCCAGGAGATCATGTTCGAATACGAATACGAACCGTAGTAGTTCCCGTACCATTTCGCGTCAACCTCTGCTCCCTTGGTACTAGTCACTTCGTCTGCCCGAGAGACTGCAACAAGGACCGAAAGAAGAGTGATCAAGTAGGCCAGGGAAACCATGGTGAGCTGTTGTGGGTGTTTGTTTATAAGGCTTTGAGGTGGTGGTGGGGGCTGATTGTATATTGGTTATGGTGGTGGATTGTTTGTTGGATGAGGAGAACCGAAAGAAGTGCCAAGATGGTGCCTCTTTATATCTTCCACCGGCTAGCCATTGCACTACTAGTGTCATAAGTGTTCCGTGCCCGGCATCAGCTCCATCAGCAGGAAGGCCGGGTGTTGTGCCCAAGACTCAGTAGATACAATGCAGAACCCTTGATGGGATCTTACCAACGGTGTGCTATTATCCACATCCACCACCAAAAGATGAAGGAATATCCAAGCCGGTGGTGAGAGTGCCGGGATTTCGCCCGGCCATCCTCTGGAGTCCCTCCACGCTCCCATCTGCAAACCTCATGGGTGAACGAACACCTCATCGGTTGTCCTTTCTCACCGACATGAGAGCTCCGGGAGGACAAGGAAGGCGAAGAATCATTCAACATCACAGCGTCACTCTAGCTCACCGTGTGCATGTTCTCGCACTCTGGGTATATCCATCCATTAACGCTGTCGCAAGTGACCAAGGCCGGCTCATCGATGGCCTTTGATCGCCCACCTCAGAAGGCAGAATCGGCTCCTGCATGGACCTGCCACTATCTTTTCAGATCTGGTGGCTCAAGTGCGCAATCTTGCAACACGAGCCGGAGAAACACAAAATATGTAAGCAGCTGACTCGGCTTCCATAAGTAGAAAAGCTTTGGGTCGAGATGGAAGGTCTTTCAGATTTTCCTTGAACCTGTTGAATAACCTTGTCACAGTAGGTCACAGTCCAAGGAAGGCCACATGGGCAGGAATGTAGCCGAAGACGAAGAGCCAAAGACTTCTGGCTCAGGATACTGCATATGCAACTTCCCCCTCCGATACTCCCCCAATCGTCGGAGCTAAAGAACATCTGGCCCATTTGCACCTCTGCCAGACGAAACACACACAAGGAGACCACCAATGGACAAAGAATCTTGGAAAGCGCAATCTCGGACCGTTGGGGTGCTCGGTGCCACAGGTAAGACACCCCTAATAGATCTAAGAAGAACGTCTTGAGAGAAACCGTTGCTAACTTTGGGTTTTGTGATCATCTTCATGACGGAAAAAAAAAACCCGATGTGGATAAGGGACTGTCGGCCAAAGATTCATAGTACTGCTGTCGAAGCACCCGAACTTCAAATTAATCCAATTGGGCGCATCATCCAGATCGGCGGGGAAAGCTTACTCGAACATTGTTCGCTGGAAACAAGCAGTCCCGATTCCGGATATCGTTAAGGATTTGGTTGTCCAAGAATGTAATCCCGAACACTTCATGGATTGTGACATAATCTTCAGTGGTTTGGATGCCGATGTAGCTGGTGAAATTGGTTAGTAATATGTTTTGCCCTCGTTTCTGACCCCATAAATCTTGACTGAGGCCAAGTATCTTACCATGCTTTTTCACAACTCCTTGAACTGCTTGAATTTTAATCGGACGACCCAATATAAAGAGTCTGCATTCAGAGCGAAAGACTTGCCCGTTTTTTCGAATGCCAAAAATTATCGACGAGACCCGCTATGTCCCTTGATAGTCCCATTAGTAAACACCGAACACCTTGGGATTGTAGAACACCAAAGGAAAACGCACGTCGATCCGCTTACGAAGTTACCCTCACCTTTGAAGAAAGGATTTATTGTAACGAATGCGAATTGTTCGACGACGGGATTGGTGGTCCCCTTGAAGGCACTAGAATCCAGTTTTGGGCCGATCGACAAGGTCGTCGTCACGACGCTTCAGGCGATTTCCGGGGGTGGTTATCCCGGCGTGCCTTCGCTGGACATTCTCGACAACGTGGTCCCATTCATCTCCGGAGAGGAAGATAAGATCGAATGGGAATGTCTCAAGATCCTCGGCACACTGGACCACTCCACCCACCCCACATCGATCATCCTACGCAGCGAGCAATCCACCGACCGCTCATTAACTGAGGTCCAGAAGACCTCAACCGGCTCAATGAAGATCAGTGCCACTACCACTAGAGTCCCTGTCCTTGATGGCCATACCGCCACCGTCTCCCTTTCCTTCAAAAATCAACCCCCTCCTTCCCCCGAGGACTGTGTCAGAGCACTCAGGGCTTATCGCTCTGAACCTCAGACCTTCAATTGTCCTTCTGCTCCTACCCATTCTATTTTCGTTCATGATGAGGAAGACCGTCCTCAGCCCCGTCTGGACCGATACTTTCAAGACGGCGCTGGTGTCAGCGTGGGTAGAGTCAGAAAAGTGAGGCATTTATTTCCTTTATTCTTATACAAAAAAACGGTTGTTGATATAGACAAAATATAAACAAAATAAAACATTGTTTCTGGTAGTGTCAAGTCTTGGATATCAAATTCATCGTGCTTTCGAACAACGTCAGCATCGGAGCCGCGACGAGCAGCATCATGAATGCGGAGTTAGCAGTCGCCAAGAACGTCGTGTGAAAGCTTGTTTTTTTTGGGAGGTATGGGGGGTTTTCCTATACCCGAGTCCAACATCTCCCGTTCTCAAGCAACTAAGCACTCAATATATATATCCTTTGTAACGAAGATGAAAGAATTCTCAACTTGGTTGTATTCTATTCTCCTATTCAAGTACCTCCCGTTTTTCTTGTCCGCATTGGTGCAGACTGATGACTCGTGCCAATTCGCGTGATTTTTGGAATCCATTCATTTTCTTCCCTGTCGAGATATGGGGCCTCAAAAAACCCAATCCATCAGCTTTGAGCTACCTTTGCGCACATCCCAAGCATGAACTTGCTAAAGATGGTAGCAGGTCCATGCAGGAGCCGATTCTTCCCTCTGAGATTGGCGGTCAAAGACCGTCGATGAACCGGCCTTGGTCACTTGTGAGTCGTGACAGCGTTGAGGGATGGATATACCCGAGCTTAACTAATCCTCTCCGAGGAGGCGCGAAGCGTCTCAGAAGGAGGGGATTACAAGTGCGCCCCACTAGGGAGTTGTGTTAAGTTTGGGATATGCACAGGGTGCGAGAACATGCACATGGTAAGCGATGAAGCGGGAGAGGGGAGGGACGGCGACGCTGTGATGTTGGATGATTCTTCGCCTTCCTTGTCCCCCCGGAGCTCTCATGTCGGTGAGAAAGAACAACCGATGAAGTAGTTCACCCATGAGGTTTGCAGATGGGAGCGTGGAGGGACTCCAGAGGATGGCCGGGCGAAATCCCGGCACTCTCACCACCGGCTTGGATATTCATTCATCTTTTAGTGGTGTAGCACACCGTTGGTAAGATCCCATCAAGTGTTCTCCAGCCCGAGCTTGTCTGTACTGAATCATCGGGCACAACACCTGGCCTTGCTGCTGATGGAGCTAATGCCGGGCACAGAACACTCATAACACTAGTAGTGCAATGGCTAGCCGGTGGAAGATATAAAGAGGCACCATCTCGGCACTTCTTTCGGTTCTCCTCATCCAACAAACAATCCCATCCTGCCCACTACCACATCCAATAAACACCCAGCCCCCACCACCACCTCAAACCCTTATAAACAAACACCCACAACAGCTCACCATGGTTTCCCTGGCCTACTTGATCACTCTTCTTTCGGTCCTTGTCGCAGTCTCTCGGGCAGACGAAGTGACGGGTGCCAAGGGAGCAGAGGTTGAGGCAAAATGGTACGGGAACTACTACGGTTCGTATTCGTATTCGAACATGATCTCCTGGAGCGGTTCCTACTTCAACACTTTCAACCTCAACCCATGGATAAACACTTGGGGCAACATGTACGGCCCCTGCTTCGGAGGGGCGGCCTTCCCCTTCGGGTACAGCCGGTTCTTTGCCAAGGCCACCGAGGCCGAGGCTCACAGCGTCAGCCGACGGGCTACCCGTCTCGATGCCGAACACCTCTTCCGTCGCGAGTCCAACGAACCGGATAGTGTCAGCTGTCTGAGCGACAAGGGAGATTCTCAACTCTTTTCCAAGTCCGAATGTGCCAAGTAAATCGCTCTTCTTCCCTCTTCATATCACCCACCTCATCCATCTTCATCAGCGGCTGAGCTTCTTTTCTTCCTCATCTTCTAGAGCTGCAGAAACCTTGCACCGCGAAAAGGCTCACTCGGCTACCAGTGGAAACTGCAGAGTTAGTGCACTATGTCTTCACTGATTGTTTGATAGCTGTATTGACAGTTTGTCTGCCTGATTTACAGTTATCTCTCTTCACTGAGAAGGACAAAGTGTTCGCCAAAGATCTGTGAGTGAAGCCCCATACATTTCTCCGATGATCAGCTCACAGAATGCTTACAAGTTCTGTTATCCGCACTTAGCCCGGAAAAAACGCTGCAAGATGCCGTCCAGAGCATCTTGAAGACCTGCGGCCAGAAGAGCCAGAGCCCAGGCCAAAAGAGCCACATCGACGACAAGCAGGCGATCATGATCCTTTCCAAGGCTTAACAGTCTTCTCTACTCGCTCTCCGTCACACTATCCAGTCGTGCTTTAACTGTCCATCACTCTTCATACATTTTTTTTCTTCTTCTTGCTTCTTGTATCTAATCGGTGTATAAACCTTTTTTGTCCCTCTCAAAATTACTCTTTGGCCCAATGTATCATGTTGTCGACTGTTGCCTCTAAAGCGTGATGGCTTCTTTCTCTCGGCTTCGTGCCTACCCCAGCCTCTTTGGCTTGCATCGCCAGAGCTTCCTCCTCATTAGCAGTTAGGGGTATGTTCCTGGAGGCAGTTCATCTGGACCGTGTATTGAGACTGAAGTGAAGAGTTATCTTGAGCTGCGAATTGAGTATGTAGTCTGCCTCGCTAGAATGATGACCTTGCGAAGCCGACAATAGCAGTCTGGTTCTTCATGACGAAGTGTGTCAACAACTCCATCCAACCTTTTGCTTCAGCAGACCAGGAGACAGCAGTCAATCAGCAGATGTCCATGCTCCTCTCAAGCTGGTCTCGATTTGGCCAGCTGAGGGTGATGGTGGCGGCCCACGAGGCTTGGGTGCGAATTACGTAAGCCACACTGGCCGCGTACAATTCCAATCCGTTTGATCACTCTCACACACTCCTCCTCCATCCTTCAAATACCCCTTTCTTATTGTATTCTTCTCATCTCCTCTTCCCCTCATCATCCCCATTATCATTATTCCATCCATCAAAGCAGCCGACTGACTACCTATATCCCATAGTTTATTTTACTTTATCTCTAACTATTTTCCAATTAAGTCGGTAAAGAGTCTCATCATGAACACTCAACTCCTGACCGTCTTCGCTTTGGTCGGTGTGGCCATGGCATCAGACTTTCGAGTAAGCTTATCGGGACTGTTAACTCAAGTATTCTATGAAGCTGAATCCTCAATCGACATGTTTTTTAGGTCACCGTCGGGATCTCGCAAATCACCGGTCAAGTTGGCACCGGGCTCGACCCTAACCGAATCGTTCCCGCTGGTAAGCCAAGCTCAGCTGATCCTGCAATAAGCCGTATGATATCCCGCGAATTCATTCGGACTGACCTCGGGACTTCTCTGCTCGGGTCAATCGAACACGCGAAAAACACAATCTACATAACCTTTCGAAGCTGGCGATACCATCACCTTCAGTTGGTTGATCCCATCCTACATCCAGAACCCTGCCACTGGAACCTACAGTGTCACCCGTAAGCCCCCACCTCTTGAGTCAAAGAACCACAACGCACTTCGTCCGCTAAACAAACACACTGTCTTTGACTCTTGCAGAGGGAACGTATGATGCACCGTGTAAGCCTATGGCAGGAGGTTTCGACAGTGGGCCCAAGACCACTGGTCCTGAGAGCGCCGGTCAAGCCCCAACAATGACTTTGTAAGCCTGCCATCATCACTGTGTGCTTGATCTCGTTGTGCTGATGTCGATTTATTTTTTCTCTATTTCCGTACTTTTTTTTTCAGTCAAGTCAAGGATGACAAGGTCAGTCGATTCGTAGCCTTAATTCTCAACTAAGAATGTGTTAACTAAATCCCCCTTTTTTTCTGATTGTTCCCAGCCGCTCTACTTCTTCTCTTCGGTCGATGACCAGTGCAAGAAGGGCATGGTCCTCGGTGTCAACTCGCCGGCCTCCGGTCCGGGCAGCGTCGAATCCTACATCCTCGCTGCTGGCGGAAACCCGAACGCCGACACCACCACCAACGCGACGACTACCCCGGCCGCCCCGTCTTCCACCAACACCACCTCCGCTTCCAACACTTCCGCTTCCAAGAATAACACATCCCCCTCATCAACCACCGCATCCAAGCAACCTGCCAACTCCGGCTCGACTAACTCGTCCTCTGCTAAGCCTCAAGGTAGCACAGCTAACACCGTCGCTCCTCAGTCTCTCCTCACTGCCGCCGGAGTCTTGTCTGCCGCACTCTTTCTTTAAAAGCTTGCTCTCAACCATCCTCTCTCTTTCTAACTTGCATGCATCATCTACTTTCACTCTTAAGATTTGCACATGGATAGTCATCTCTTGTCTTTCGTCCTTTTTGTTGTAATCTCTCCCCTCTTGTGTTTTGTTCTTCTGTTATCTTTATGACCCTATTATCTACGGATTTTGATCAATCATCATTATCAGGACATTTATCCTATACTTAACTTGAGAGAGAGAGAGAGAGAGAGAGAGAGAGAGCCTGTTGCTTGCTCGTCACCCCTCCTCAGCTGTCGGGGCTAGAGCAATATGCTTTCGCGTAAGTATGCCGGATGGTTCTTAAGACAGGCTTCCAGTCGACTGGCCCAGGGAAGCACAGCAGACCTGTCAGCAACTCCATGCGAAAGCGACAAACCAACTTGCACGTTCGAAAAAGTGATAAAACATGTGTGTGTGTGACTTACCGATACAAAGTACCCACAAAGTATAAGGTTGCACACGTACACGTGATCACTCCGAGTACCTTTCACTCAAGACCGGAAGGAAATGAACCAGCCGCTCCGTGCACCGTCGTTAAACCAACTCGGATCACACCTCTCACTCAAAGCCTTTTTTTCCTTGCTTCTGACGGAGCTCCCTAACCGCTGCGAAAGACTTTTTTGTGTTCAGCCTTCGGGCCACCTATTTTCGGATGTTATTGGTCTGTTCGTATTATGTACTTGTATGCAACCGTCAGCTTGGATCCGCCACTGGTGGGTACATATTCGCGGGCAAATGCTTTGAGAAGTTTTTGTTCTCACTCTCTCTGTAACTCAATGCCAATCTGAGAGCACATGAAGGCCGATAATTGTTTTTATTTTTTTATTTATTTTTTATATTGGGGCATCTTTGATGATACGGTAATAAAGCACTCCGATACATTACAACTCACAAGCAGAATTCACGATGGCTCAGAGACAATCAAATAGAGAAGAGCCAGGCGATTTCGGGAGAACAACAGCTCAAGACTCATGTGAGTCATGACTTGATCTAGTCTAGAAAGTAAATAATTTGCATATTGAGACAAATGATGAACCAACCAAAGCTTCGGCTTTCGAGAGGATTATAGGTACAAAAGGCAAGAGGGCAAAGAAAGAGACAGGGGACTGTTCAGATGGTACATATATATGCAAGTATGTGACGGAGAACGAGTAGAGAAGATTGTTAAGCCTTGGAGAGGATCATGATGGCCTGCTTGTCGTCGATGTGGCTCTTTTGGCCTGGGCTCTGGCTCTTCTGGCCGCAGGTCTTCAAGATGCTCTGGACGGCATCTTGCAGCGTTTTTTCCGGGCTAAGTGTGGATATGTAACAGAACTTGTAAGCATTTCGGCAGCTGTTGATCGAAGAAAATCGATGGGGCTCCTACTCACAGATCTTTGGCGAACACTTTGTCCTTCTCAGTGAAGAGAGATAACTGTAAATCAGGCAGACAAACTGTCATTACAGCTATCTAGCAATCAGTGAGGACCTAGTGCACTTACTTTGCAGTTTCCACTGGTAGCCGAGTGAGCCTTTTCCCGGTGCAAGGTTTCGGCAGCTCTGGAAGACGAGGAAGAAAAGAAGTTCAGCCGCTGATGAAGATGAATGTGGTGATATTATGAAGAGGGAAGAAGAGCGATTTACTTGGCACATTCCGACTTGGAAAAGAGTTGAGAATCTCCCTTGTCGCTCAGACAGCTGACACTATCCGGTTCGTTGGACTCGCGACGGAAGAGGTGTTCGGCATCGAGACGGGTAGCCCGTCGGCTGACGCTGTGAGCCTCGGCCTCGGTGGCCTTGGCAAAGAACCGGCTGTACCCGAAGGGGAAGGCCGCCCCTCCGAAGCAGGGGCCGTACATGTTGCCCCAAGTGTTTATCCATGGGTTGAGGTTGAAAGAGTTGAAGTAGGAACCGCTCCAGGAGATCATGTTCGAATACGAATACGAACCGTAGTAGTTCCCGTACCATTTCGCGTCAACCTCTGCTCCCTTGGTACTAGTCACTTCGTCTGCCCGAGAGACTGCGACAAGGACCGAAAGAAGAGTGATCAAGTAGGCCAGGGAAACCATGGTGAGCTGTTGTGGGTGTTTGTTTATAAGGCTTTGAGGTGGTGGTGGGGGCTGATTGTATATTGGTTATGGTGGTGGATTGTTTGTTGGATGAGGAGAACCGAAAGAGGTGCCAAGATGGTGCCTCTTTATATCTTCCACCGGCTAGCCATTGCGCTACTAATGTCATGAGTTTTCCGTGCCCGGCATCAACTCCTTCAGCAGCAAGGCCAGGTGTTGTGCCCAAGACTCAGTACATACAATGTAGAACATTTGACGAAATCTTACCAACGGTGTGCTATGTCTACAGCCAAAAGATGAAAGAATATCCAAGCCGGTGAGAGTGGCGGGATTGAGCCCGGCCATCCTCTAGGGTGACGGTGAGTTTGTCACACTCCCATCTACCAGAACTGCATGGGTAAAAACCTCATCGGTTATCTTCTTATGTTTCTCACCGACGGAAGAGCTCCGGTGGGACAAAGTGGAAAATGAGCCATGATACATACTGCCATGCGAATAATCACCGTTGTGGCAGGGAAATGAGGGGAAATGCCAGTTGATCGAAACAAACTGGATGGACCTACCACAGCATTTTGATACTTAGCTTTGTTAAGCACACAGCTAGTCCTTTCTTTGGATCACATTTTAGCAAAAATAATCCAGCTACATAAGCCGTGATACCTTTCCCTAGCGGCACAAACAAATGAAAACCCACTACATCTTGGTCAAAAGCTTTTTTCGACCTCTTGAAAATGTAAGGTTGAGCAGTCCCTCAGGCTTGACCCAAAAGAAAGCTCTTGAACCCTTTTGCAAAAGTATACCAAAAGCTTCTCCACCTGAGAACAAGCTATGAAGAGGGCTAAGAAGTTAAAAATTGAAATGATGCATGAGTTTGATAGAGAGACTGGGTCCTGGATCCATGGAGAACCTTTGGCCCAAATCTCCTCATGGTCAAGGAAACATAAAAAAGTCATGAGAGATAATGTGCTAGTTAAAAAAATTGCAAAACCCTGATTGTCATATTGTGATGAGATGAAACTGGTTAAACTGAGAATATACATGAGCTCTTGCAACTCTTAGTTACTGCATCAGATTCCATTGATCTCCTCCATGAATTTGAAGAGTAATTTTAACAAGGTTGGTGTTGGTAAGAACTAGTAACAGTTCCTTCTAACTATACTGGCTACAAAAATAGTGGAAGGGATTCCTATCATGTGCACCACATTGTTGAGAGTTGAGCCCAGCTTTTCATCAGGGAGTGGCAAAGGTGATCTCTAGACATAGCTCTGAACCATATCAACTCCTGATACTCCCCAACGAGAATATTTCTGTGAGCCATGCTGCTCATGGACCCCTAATCCATTCAAGACAGAAGCAGGTGCCGGGAGCCTGGGAGCTTGTTTTCTGACACAGCACAGGGCGTGGCCCTGTGCCTTGTTAGCTTACATGTTCAGCACCCTGTTGTGGGTGCCTAGGAAGTCCCGGAGACCAGAGGTGGTCTCCCAAGACTCCCATGTGTGGGTCAGGGGGGAGAGGCCAGACGTCCAGAGGACGTGAGTCACTAGGAGTCTTCTGCCAACCTGGCTCTGAGCCTCTAAACCAAAGCCCCCAGGAGGGGGGCAATGGAAAAGAAGCTCTTAAGCCAATGTCGGCAGATTGAGAGCCTCTCTCCAGAGCAAACAAGACACCCCCAGAGGGGTGGAGCAACCACCAGACCGATGCTTGAGTGTGTGGTCTGCATTTGTGCTGTACCAGGGCGGGTGGGAGGTTTTTGAAAAAGGGACCTGGTTAACCAGGAACTTAGGATTGCAGGAGGAGGAGGGAAAGGGGACAAGAGACAGAAAGGGTGAGGGAAAATCGGATCAAGGTACCTCTTAGGCTCCTAGACTATATGTAGCCTGGCTCCCAGATCAGTACATAATTTGCCCTTTTTTCTTGAGCTTTTCACTAATTTCTTCTGGGATCTAAACCACACCTACTCACAGGCCTCAGTGTTATCAGATACAGCAATCATCTGCTTTTGCAAGATACCTTTGAGGGATTAAAAACCCCTTGGTTTGAATTCTATCAATATTTATTGGCATAATTAATCATTTCTACTATCTAATAACCTTGTAATTACCAATCATCTTTGGAATTAACCTCAGGACTCTTCAGTACCAGATTTCAAACTCTATCATCTTAAGCAACGGTGGGCCAGTTACACTAACTGTAGTGTTAGTGCAGCGTAGTGTTAGCTTTTTAAGCTACACTACACAAAAGTTACCGTTAGCGGGAATTTTTGGCCAGTATTTTTGAAAAAAAAAAAAAACTTTAGCGTAGTGTTAGCTACCTTTAAAAAGGCACAACTAACACTAAACAAAATCCTGTTAGTGAAATTTTAGTGGTGTTAGTGGGTGAACCCACTACACTACATGTTAGTGTAACTTTTTGCAAAGTTACACTAACGGTTAGTGTAGTGGTACCCTCAGTTACACTAACTGTTAGCGTAACTGGTGAAAAAGTTACACTAACTGTTAGCATAAATGATTAAAAGTTACATGACCACATGACTAGCATTAGTATACCCTGAAGACAGTGCCTGATTGGGGGGCCTACATCCAGATCCCCTCAATTGATCATCATTTTTTTTCAGTTGGTAATGGGGGCCACTCAATTTTAGCCCCCTGCCAATTTTTAACACTTACTTGTAAGACCACATTCCCCTGTCAGACTACCTTGAGATTATGGGTTCAATTCCCCCTCAGATCATACTTTACTGGGTTCCATTCCCACACTTGTTCAATTTCCACTTTCACATCATGTAGCAAGGGGGGGGGGGGGTTGAGGTGTAACCATGATGTATCACCAGAGTGTGGTGGAGCTGTTGGCATGAACCATGGCAACTACCACCCAAATAACCTTACAACCACAAGGGTCTGTAGCCTAGTTGGTAAAAGAAGCACTCTGGTATATGACTCAGCATTGCTGAGGCTGTGAGTTCAAATCTCACCAGGCACATCCTCTGTTTGTTTGTCTCTGCATCTTGTGGTGTTCATTTTCTGCGGGATTGTGTGTGATCATAGGACATTGAAAATCGTCACTATGGACCTCGGCCATTTCAGTTATATGGACAGTTCACACAACTTGTCCATTGAAAACAGAAAGCAGAGGAAGAGGGTTCAAGAGCATAAATTCTCACTTGACATGTCAATTTCTCTAATTGATAATTGATGATTTACACTACACTACATGTGTAGTGTAACTTCTACTGTAGCGTAGCGTAACTAGACATGTAGTGTAGTGTAGCGTAGCTTAATTTGGTATAAGTTACACTAAATGTTAGCTTCAAATCAGTTACACTATCTGACAGTCAAAATTTTGTTAGCGCAAAAAAAGTTACACCAACTGTTAGTTTAGCTGGGATTATTTGAAGCTAACACTACCAAAAAATTTGAGAGAAAAATTTACACTACACTAACAGTTAGCGTAGTGGGGTTTAGCGTCAGCTAACACTACAGAATTTCCAGGAAATAAAAAGGCCACTACACTAACAGTTAGTGGTCAAATAGCGTAGTGTAGCGTAGCGGCCCACTGTTGTCTTAAGTTTTGCACCATGTGTAGCTAGAAGGGATACTACCTTGGCATCATGGCGACTGACAAAATCCAAACTTTTAACTGACACCAAGACTCAGATGTGGCACAAAGATAAACCACCCAGCCTACTTTGTTCATGTTAATCAAAGCCACACGGGCAAGTACTTACCCAAGAGATTTAGTTTAGTTTTGAATAAATTTAGAATTTGGGTGAGGTGAGCCCTATCCCTCTTCTTTGGTTTAATTTAATTTCCTATGTTGACCATGTTTAGATATGTGGTATTGTTAGGAACAATGCATCACACAACCAAGTGAGGGTGGAGGAACTCAAGAAGCTCAAGTGGCAGCACCATCAATATCTTCCTTGCCAAGGGAGTTGATATTGTCTTCTTTGGTTTTTGGGTGGTGATTCAACCTCACTGTTGAATTCTTATTCTGCCATGCAATCTTTGTGGCCCCAGGGAAGCCTAGAGCAGCAAACAAGAAATTTATCACCTAAAATTGATGAAACAATTATCTGAGGAATTGAGGTAGCAAAGGGCTTACAGTCTGATATGCTCCTCTGCATCCTCAATCTCATCTTCACAATAGGGGGTATCAATTGACTGGTTTGTAAAAATCCACTATCTTCTAAACATATTGGTTCTTCATTCAAGCCTTTTGGCGGACCATTGATGCATTTTTTGGGGGGGAAAAGTGACTGGTTTCTAATAGTGGGTTTCCTATATTTGATACCACCTAATATGAATTGTCTGAGTCAGCACCAAAAGTGTATGATACCTGAGATGCTTTCTGCGGTTTTAGAGTTCCAAAAGGCCAAAAAAAATTGCCTGTGATGTACACAAAGCACCAGATCCATTGTGCCTTTGAACCATGAGGCCCAGTTTGAGCACCTGCCAAGCTCAGAGACAAGTCATGCAATCAGTTCCAATTACCAATTTTGATTGGTCCCACTCCCTCATTAAATAATTTTATTTTTACACTGACCCATCTCATGACTAGAGCTGTCCCCTTGTAAGTTGTAGCCATTGGCAGGTACTAAGAATCTGTGGAAGTGCACCAGGTTCCAGGTGTGGGTGCAGGTGTCCAGATTGGGTAGAATTTCAGACAGGTACCCACACCCACCACGGGTACTTGGGTGACAGTTGCTAGTAAAGATGGCCCCTAGTACCCATTGGCAGGAGCCTGTGTCAGTGCGCAGCTACCCATGGGTGGGTGTGGGTTTGGGTGCGCAGGTATTCAACTTGAGTCAAACTGAAGAGTATTACCCACACCGGCTACAAGTGGCCTGGTGCAAAGTGCCAGCTGTACTCATGACTGGCCCTGACCCAACCCGGATTGTTCTACACCCTAAGTTGCAAGTAGCTGTGTGTTGGAATTTCACTTTTTCTTTCCCTTTTTTCAAAGATGTCACTCATTTCTTTTACTTAATACTGGTTTCTTTTCCTATTCATTATGCATTACCCTTAGATCCCACAACTCATGCATTTTGTATCTAGACTACTTAATACCCTCGAGATAAAGAAATTAAAAACCATGAGTCTTGACCGTACTGTTCCTCTGAGAGTCAATTTAGACACCTCAGAGTCTTACATGAAGACACTTAAGCCTCTTTGTCCAAGTTTATAAGGTTTATCATTGGACCTTGTCCAACTTTGGATTTGCCAACTCTTCCCCTTCTCCGCTTTTATTTTAAAAGCTTGCTGTGAGCTCATCAACTGCACAGCCCACACATACTTTATTTATCTTCAAGCCAAACACACTTTCCTTGAGTGCATAGAGCATCAAGTCAACAAAAAAATGAAGATGATTAGAAGTAGAATATCAGTGAACTTGAGAATGATGACTTAGATCTGTATTGAATCCAACTACTTTTGATCTTACGTTTGAGTCTTTGACAAAATGATAATATTTTATTATCTGATGTACGACAAGGGATTAATTATAGACTTATGGCTTATATATTGATGTAATGTTGATAGCCTTTTTGAATATATGAAATAGTACAAGAAAGACAAAAATTTAGGCAAGGATGACTTGGAAAATGTGAGAAATATCATCTACAGTATTTGAATAAAATTATGGAGGTCAACGATGGTGAAACATTAGTAAATTGGTATTGACTCTGAGTAGATGTTGAAGTACCTACTTGGCTTGATAATTTAAGCGGGCTGAGTGATTTTTCTTGAACCTGCTTCGCTTTGAAGATCCTTTAGCTCCTTTGGAAACTCTTTGACATTGAAAACCATGCCCTGGCGGCGGTTTGGGGAAGATGCGGTTGGGGGAGGATCAACTTTGGGGGCTGCCTGCTGTGGTGGCTTCAAGTTCCTGTTGCGCATGGTGTCTCGTGAAGGGGCCCCAATAGGACAAGTTGGCGATTGAAGATCGTAAACAACACGCATTGTGATAAAACTGAGATGTAGAAGAAGACAAAAACTGCAGAAAAGTTAGGATTTCCTCTGAAAAATTCAAATGGAACAATAGAGTGATCACATATTTACTTTTCTCAGATAGAGGGTGGGGGATCAGTCCACAAAATCAAGAATTCCTGATTCACGCTCTAAAGGCCGGCTTTCTACAGGTCGAGAGGGAGGTGGGGAGGCAAGAACAGGTGTTATTAAATTGCTCAGAGAAGAGAAAGGGTGGGTACTATCTACAAGAGCATCGAATGCACTCTTCCTTTCGTGCTTTGTGGGGGAGAGAGAGAGAACAGAGAGAATGATGTTGAGATGGAAGATAAGAGAGGCGGGAGGCGAGAAGAAAAGCTGGACCGTTAAACAATCGGTATATTTAACCAAAATGGTTCAGCGTCCAGTGCTGTTTTGTTGACAGCGCCCTACTGCAAAACTTTGCCTCTTTGTCCCTCGTAGTTTGCAATCTGTTGAGCTTGCCACAGATTGCAACGTGATCGAAAACATTGTCACGTGCTACGCGTAGACCCTGATTGGCCAAAGGCAGTGAGAATCTATTGAATTGGAGGCCTACTGGCTTAGTCTGCGGATATGTGACCTGTGGCTGTTTTCCGATCAAACAGTAGGGAGATGACCGATGGAAGAGTTGCCAAAAGCATTCTGTCTGTTCATCAGATAGCCGGCGAGATGCAAAAGCAGCAACAGTGTGCCAGTTGGGTGACCTGCTCGTGGTCTCTATACCACCAATGATACAAGTCTCAATTATCACAATGGTTGAGAAATGTCTGGTTCTCAGATTGGCGTAGAGAGTGAAAGCTTGAGCAAAGGTATACCAGTTCAAGTTGCGTGACTCATAGCATTCTCCAAACTGTCACCGTCACGACCAGACATCAATTTATGATAGATATGAATTCACCGAATGCATAGAATCCCCGCTCTTCATCGTGCAATGTGATGAGATTCGAATCAATACATAGATCCCTAGAAACTTTTAGCGAGCTTTACTCAGTCAATGCTTGAAGTATTTTATAGGCCATGGGGAAATTTTCAGAAATGAATTATGATCCCAGTTTGCTTCACGGTTCACGTAGTTTTATAACAGAGCAAAGTTTTAGCAACAAGACTGAATCACTCAACTCATCAATTCCCGGCTTGGCCCAGTGAAAAGCTGAAAGTCACCAATGCTTAAGTATCAAGATGGAAAGGGAGATGTATCGAATGCATCTAGAAAGGTTGAATATGACGAGAAATTCGGAACTAACCTACAGTCAAAATGTGGCGAAATAATGAATGAGACAAGGTCGTCAACAGGTGTAGATGGAAAAATACAAGGAACCTTTAAGTAGAACCGCGCGATACAGCTTTTACCCCAAGCACTGCCAAAACCTTCCCCATGATGGTAGTGAAATGATTCAAATGACTTGTATAGGCTGTTACCTCCATCATGGAATGATCAAGGTATGGTCGGATTACTTCCGCTTCTTGAAGATACTCCCGCTCGTTGAAGATATTAACAGTTATTCTGCGAGCCATTGTAAATTATCAGCTGATAATTGATTTGCCTTTGCAATTTCAGTCAGTATTGGATGTGAAGTAGGAGATGTCTCCGTTTCGAAGAGACAATGGCAGCTAAACCGAGTGTTTTGCCTGCACGGGAAACAAGTTGGTCTACCGCTCTGTAGAATCAAACGTCACATAATAATGGGGCTTTATCTTCCGTTGTTGAGCTGTCCAAGCAAACGACCATCAGCTGTCGGCTCGGAAGGGCAAGGTAAGTTGCTCCGAGAGTCGGGAAATTAGACCAATTGATATACCGAAGGTGCAAGGCGTAACTTGTGAGGCAAATATATAAGCACAAGTGTTCAACGTCAATCGCAGGCGGAATCGATGTGCAACCCCGACAGTTTCTCACTGAGTCAATGTCCTTCCATTTCACGCGGGGCAAACTGACTGTATAGAATTGTTCGGAGCAATAATATCCATAGCGATGTTTGATAAAAAATCACGAAGGCCTTGCTTGCACGAAACTCGAATGGTTTCGATAGATTTTGGAGAAGGGCTCTTCTAACCTACTATTCGATCATCAGTTGGTGCAATTTGGAGCTTTGCGGAGGCTGCATAATGATACATACGACTGGTGATGCTCAAATCAAGAATGATCGTAGCTGGCCTGAAGGGACGTTCAGATTCGCATAGAAGGTAGCCAATGTCAATTGGCAAAATGTGATGTACTCAAGCATCAGTTCCATCAACGCGAATCCATTAAGTTAGATCGTCAAGCCAAAAAAAAGACATACCGAGTGATCTTTTTACCGATCAACTCACTGACCTCATCATGAAGAGCCGACGCCCTTCTCACACCCCCACCTGTCATCACATCACACATGAAAGCTGCACCAGCCGTAAAACTTCAGTACATACGTGTTTGAGACATGCAACGTTTACATTGCACCTCAATATTCTCTTTCCCGCACAGCCGCTCGTGCGCCTCTATAGCTCAGTGGTAGAGCGTTCCACTCGTACTTATCAACAAGATCATGGAAAGGTCTGGTGTTCAATCCACCATTGAGGCAGCTTGTTTTTGCGTACTTGATTGCCTCATATTGATTTGCACCAATCTACATAGTGTGCCTCAAGTTCTGATTAGCTTTTTACAGCTACTCCAAAAATGCTCCCAACTTGCCCCATAAAAAACTGAGGCAAGTTGGACATTTTCTGAATAGTTAGTTGCATTTGAATTTGTACTTACAGAAGTGTAACCAGACCTACAGTGGTGTTTCCTCAACTTCTTTGTTTACTTGCATGCAAGATGATTGTTTTTTATGAAAAGGCCACTTTTAGATTTTTTGTGAGTTCAATTTTGAAGGAAAGCTAGCTGTTTTGCTGCAGGAGTTGTAATTCCTCAAATCCAGTTCATAAATTAAGTTTTGATAAGTCAATTTTGTTGCTGTGAAATTGTAAGAAAGAATAATTGTGGGATTTTTTTGTATCATATTTTTCTGCCTGAGCAATAAACACCCCCAAATCTTACAAACACAAATCAACTAGTAAAGGAGCAGTGATCCATACAACATAATCCATGTGGGTTCAGTAAGGATGTCAATGTGTCTGCTTTGGGCGCAAAAATGGTGCCCAAACCCAACCCAACACTTATGTTGGGTCAAATTGAAATTATGCTGCCCAAAACTGAATTGTCTTGTAAGTTTTTGGATTTGGACCAGAAATATGCACATTGGCTTTGGGCCTACCCAAGTTTTAGATTGCATGCAGAGCAAAAATGTGCAAAATTACCTGCCCAACAAACCGAACCTGCAAAGTTTTTGGTTTTGATTTGGGTCCAATCTGCCCCAAACCAACCCACAACCAGTCTTGGGTCTGGGTTAAGTCAGACTGAACATCCTCAGCAGCCAGGTGAGTGGGAAGTGTCTTGCTCCATCAATTCTCATTTAGGATACAAATACGACATATTTGAGTATTGTACAGTGACCCTGCCATGTACGCTGTGGTGGTGAGAGCACCCGCGACCAAAGCTTTAGCCGAATTGTTTGGGCATATGCGGAATGCTTGCGGCTGATGCGGAAAGCATGCAGAGCTGACACTACACACACAATTAGTAGAAAAGTCTAGCTTTCCAAGGCGTGGGAAAGCGGGGGAAAGTGGGCTGAATGCACAAGGTTCCGAAAAGCTTGCTGCGGGGAATCCAGGCACTGGCGGGCTTTGGGGCTCATGGCCAACTGCGGACTGGGGTTTAGCGTATACTGCGGAGGGGCAACAGAAGCAGGGTTTGGAGTGGACCAGAGGCAGAAGCGGCGGTGGGAGACCTATCCAAAGGGCGGTTGGAGGAGTACACTGACTGGCAGGCGTAGGAGGGGTGACAAGCGGAGTGCAAGGGAGTGACAGCGGAGGAAACTTGTGTGTGGGATAGCTGGCAAGAGTTGGAGTTTGGAGGAGAAAGGGGAAAAAGGGGGGAGACTTATGAATCAGAACATATTGGAAAAACAGAGTGACTTAGGAGTGAATCGTGTATTGGCCTAGAGAATTGTTAGAGATAGACAAGAGTTAGTGTAGTACAAAGAACAATAAAAAGATTAGTTGTTTTTTACCTACCAACAAGACCACCAAGCAAGTTACCCAGAACAACTAACGGAGTAGGACGTGTTGTGGAGAAGAGAAGTGCAAGAAAACTCCGAGGGTGCGCCTTATTTTCCACAATGCATTGACCATGCTTACATCCATCTCATTTCAGTAAAAAAAGGAAAATGGTTGATAGAATTTGAAAGTTTTCATTTTCACATAGCAGGTGCTTACATTGTGTATGCTTACATTGAAGGGCTTGTTCATTGCTTCTCCCTGCTCTTCCTCTTGTACTCCTCCTACTCCAAATATGGAGTTTGCTCACCCATACAACAATAAAACAATATGGTTACTGGGAGTATAAATGGACTTCTTCAGAAGATATTTTAACTGGTGAGCTTCCCCCCCCCCCCAGGAAACTTGTAATGTAACAGAAGTAATTCAATCACCACATTATCAAATTCCAAAAAAAAACTGTTGATACTGTATTGTGTTGTATCTGTTCCACTGTTGCAAGTACCAAATATCAAACGGAATAATTTACTCCTTGAATATTTTTTTTGAAAGTTTTACTCATGGAGTATATAATTTGACCAGTATGTAAAACTACCACCAGGAGCAGATTATGTATTCCCTACTTAGGTGTTGTATTTTCTTGGTTGTGTGGCACAGTTACTTGGTTTTGGCCAAGTGGGGCTTTGGATCACCAACATTGAGATGTTACAAGTGGGGATAAGGAGTTTGCCAAATGTGTTTCACAATATTACTGGTGAACTTGGTCTGGTTTGTGCCCTGATGGGCTTGATATACCACATATATTCAGTGTGTGAAATGAAGATGATGGGAGAATCAAAAACTCACCGGCCAAGTCTTTAGATGCCAGCTGAAACTTCCTTCATCATCATCCATTTTGGTTTGAATCTACTGGTGTTAGAATTTGAGGATGTGTGATATTTGTTTTTCATTTTTGACAATCACACTTGAATTGCCCATTGAATTTCACCTTTGGTACTGTTTGGTGGTTTTTTTTTCTTATTATATTTGAATATTGATCTCTCAACAAGTGTCACTATAAGAATTTCTGTAGTCTGATTTACAAATTCTATCATTGCCATTGATAGGTTTAAAGCCAGACTTTCCATATTCATGTCTTTTTTACCCTGATTAACAGGTTCCTCTCTGCCTGGAGGTGGCAATTTCTGAATAAATTTGGTAGGAGTTTCCAGGTGAAACACAGTGAGAGATCTAATCAAGATAGCTATTTTCATTTACAGCACTTTTGGCTGTATACAGATTTTGAAAGAGTGCCCTTTTTCTAGAATGAATTGTGAACTCTTGTAATGATCTGATAGAAAGGTAAAAATCCATTTAAAGTGAAGTAGATTTTTCAGCACCGGAAAAAAAATAAGGAAGGGCTTGCCTTTTGCTTGAAATAGTGTCTTGTGTCTTTATTTGATTGAAGAGGAAGAAAATATATAATTCCCCTGAATTTGTTCTCAATACGGGTTGGAAATTCTTCTGGTCTACACTGGCCTGGTGGAATAACAAAAGTGGGGAACATGCATATCACCAATGTTGTAATCCCTTAGATCAAGCCTAATGATGGTTTTGCAGAGGTAGCCCCACAGTGCCCCTGTCTCACAAATTCACTTGAACAACAGCTCTCCTGAAATTCTGAAGTTCATAGGAAGATCTCAGTTGATCATCTTTACTGCATTATAATCTTTGAATTTCTGTCTCCTGAGATTGATCTCACACATATGAAGTGGTTTAGAAGTGTTCTTAAGCTTTAAAAACAGGGCAGAAAAAAACAAGTCTTGTGAGAAATAGCTTCAAAGTTGGTATAGCCTTGTGAGTTGGTGAGGAACTCATAGGGGTTGACAGAGAAGCAGATCTTAAGTACCCCATAAATTGAACATCTCTGGATTTTAGATAGTCTCAAGAATTTGGAAATATCCAGACCTTCAGAAATAAATTTCCTCAATCAATCATGAAATTTTGCATAATTTTTTCAGTGGCACTTCCATTTTCTGTTTGTACTGATTGATTTTTTCTTAGAATTTGGGTGGCTCTGAATTGACAACTATAATTTTTTTTCTGCCCAAGATGGTAGGCATTGATCTTGCAATGGATTTACCACAAAGATCAGGGCCTCTTGGATTTCGTAAAAGTAACTCCTGCTGGGAAACGGATCACTTAGTCTATTGGGTAGATGAAGAATCAGGAATATGTCCTTCCAGGGACATGGGAACCTCAGAGAATTCATTGCAAAATGGTTTGAGTCATCTTATGGTTCATCAAGTGAGTTGCAAATCTGGATTCTTTACCATATTGGTGTCAATTCCTTAATGATTATTCTTATACATTCATCACATGTTTATGGATTTAGGGAGACAGCCCCAAGGCAATGGATATTGCGCTTTGTGGTCAGCCAGTGGAGCAATCAACTGGAAATTTTGAAAGGAATCTTATTGGCCAAGAAATGAGTAGTGTTTTTCAGGAGGCCATCTCATTGGGAGAAGTAAACAACATTCCAACAGTCATCTCAAGCCAAGTAGAGTGTCCAATTTGTTTGAGTTACATGGATGATGATGATACAAATATCCATGTCTGGGAACCATGCAAGCACAAACATCATCAAATTTGCATTGAAAATTGGCTGAGAACAAAGATAACCTGCCCAGTGTGTAGGGCTGTGGATTCCAGACTCAGTGCCCACACCCCAGATGCAAGACCAATCCAGCCTATGAATATTACAGATTTCTTGACAATGATAACATTCATATCAGTTGTAGTTGCATTTCTGATCTGGTTCAACTATGAAGTACATTCACATGCTCCCACATTCACATCACCTCATCAACGGTTATTGTAAAAGAGCCTTTTGGATCTTATATTTTAAACTGAAGTTGTTTTTCTGAGAAAGTAGACAGAATTAATTCCAAACACTATGTTGCAGTTCTCCCTCCTGCCAGTCTATTCATAAGATCAGAATCCTTTCACTATCATTATCACTTCCCTTTCTTTTCTGTCAGGCACATGTTTTGCAAGTGAAAATAGTTGATCAAAACCACCATTTTTTACTGAATTATCTGCTAGCTTGCAAGTCAGAAAAGCAATCTCACTACAAGATACTGTATCAGTGGTCTCAGGGATCAGGTGCAGAAAGAATACATTATTTATTCTCTAACTCAGAAGGCATGTTAATTTATCTACATACAAGTGATAGCTGAATTGTGGGAAAGAGGGTGAAAATGAGTATCCATCAGGAACTGAGAAAGGGAGTGACAGGTGGGAAAGGGGTGACATTGGAGTGAATGGGAGGAAAGAGATAGAGGGAGATGGGAGAATTTCAGAAACCACATCTATTACATTACAAACATACAGTCTCAGGGAAGAACACAAGTATCAAGACATCAACACAGGAAACAACATCAAAAATTCAAACAATTCTTTGGACAACAAGATCAATTCCAACAATTATACATTCATCTTTGAACACAATCCTTTAGCATTAACCAAATTGGCAAGCTTACCTTGGTGGTCTTGTTTCATGATAGAAAGGCAGATTTTGCAGCTCATTCATCCCTTTCTTCATTCAGAAAAAAAGATCTTGCAATCAATTTTTGAGTCTTACACTAAGGTCCATAGGTCACATGATCACACACAATCCCACATAAACAAAATGCAGATGTGTCTGGTGAGATTTGAACTCACAAACTCAGCAATGCTGATGCTGAGACACATACTAGAGTGCTGCCTTTACACCATGGACAATTGGGTTAGAGATCATTTGTTTTTACTTGGGTGCATGTTCAATTTTTCAAGAAAATAGATATCATGTACTGCACCTGGCACCTCCCGGCAGGTACCAGTGGTACTTTTGGCAGTTACCATGGGTACCTCCCCTCTCTTTCTCACCTAGTTTCACTCTCAGAGCTCCAAGTCACTTTTTTTTATTAGTATTTTTCATATTTATTGTAAAGTATCACTCCCAAGTCACTTTTTTTCCATTCTTTCATATTTATTGTAAAATATTGACAACTAATTAGAAGAATCCTACTTTGTTATTATTATTATATTTTTCATATTTATTTAAAAAACAAATTCAAAAAAAAAAACCCAAAGACTGTTTGTAATGGTTTCAAAAAAAAGAAGAAAAAAAAGGGCCTTGAGGCTGGGAGGGCTTCCTCCTGGCCAGGTTGACTGGAAGGAAAAAAACTACCCCAGTTTTTTGTGAGACCGGGATTAAATCTTGAATGGCAATGCTCTGAAGGCAGTGGCAATTGGGTTTTGTTTCATCTCAACATCAGGTAACAAGTGTTGAGGCATCATGCTGACTTGTCAGACCTGCGTAGATGACCAACTCAACTTTGCTAATACGTCCACCCTGCTCATGAGTCATATCACATCAAACGTTGCAGTGCTTGCCAGCACCATCCCCAACTCCCACAAGGTACACCCAGGCTAGATTAGACAACGTCAATGAAGTACTCAAGTTCTCCCCCCATATATCTTGACTGGAAGGGTTTCCTTCTGGTCAATGAGGATGTACCTCGTTGAACCAAAGGAAACCCCTCCAATCAACAAGGTACATTACCTCATGAGCGGTACCCGCAGGGCAGTGCTGGGTACCTAGACTAGAAAGGAGTACCACGGAAGGATCTCTAAAGTGGGTGTTGCTTCCAGACGGAGCAACATCTTGGGGTTTTACATAATCAGCAACACGGTACACCCAATTGACTGTGGTGTTACCAACTAGGCTAGAAATGTTTGTGCTGCCAGGGTAGATGGGTGGTACTCAACATTGTTCAAACCAACAGCTCCACCATACAGTGGTGATACATCATGGTAGCAAACTATCATACACCTCAGCACAAACCCTTGCTACATGATGTGAAAGTAGGAATTGAACCCAAGTAAGTGTGGGAATGGAACCCAGTAAAGTATGTTCAGAGGGGGAATTGAGCCCATGTTCTTAAGGTATTCTGAAAGGGAAATGTGTTCTTACAAGTAAGCATTGAAAAGGGGAGTGATAATCCCCCCCCCCCCCCCCTTGTGCATGCACTCCCACCATTCCCTCAGAGTGGGAGTGTGAGCCCGCACACCAAAGGAAATTGGCATGAGGGCCTGCACACCAATATCAACACTGAGACAGAGGCAAGAAGAGAAAATACCCAGCATTTATTTGTATTATCTCAGAATTTGAATACCCAAAAATACCAATACTTGTTTTTCTCACTTTCCTGAGACAATACACACATATTGTCTTTGAAAAGTGATGCAAGTAATGTATATTGTCTCAGAGGGCTGATCCAACCAAAAATGTCTTCAATACACAAGATATCTGGCTGTATCAACAAGAAAACAAAGACAATTTTTTTTGCTTGGAAAAGATCAATCTGAGATGGTGGATTTTCTCACCAACCATGGAAATACTGATACCAGGTATCAGTCTCAAAATAAAGACAATACGAGAAATACCACCACACCAGGCTACTCAAACCAACACACATCCCTTCCTGGGTCCAAAGGGTCCCCGTCTGCAGGGAGGGACTTGCACATAATGTTGCTCATCTGGCCTGAGGGTATTCAGCCAACTGTTCAAATAAATCACAACATCCCCCATTTGGGCCTGAAGATCACTGTTGTCAGGCAAGCCATGCAGTACATAGAATCACATGAATTTTCTCTTTTTTTGCATGTCATTACTTTCCTACCACTCCTCCTCAAGCTGAAGATATTGTGCTTGTTTGAAAATGAAAAATAGAAAATCTGGTTTGACCATGACCAAATATTTCCACACCTATTTCCGGTCTCACACTTATTGTCTTGCCATTGTTCCAATTCAATTTGATTTGATATATTTCAAGTAGAATAGGAATTCACTGGCTTTTTAGTCTTCCATTGACCACTGTGATTCAAGCTGTCAAAGAATCTTTGAACTTTGCCATGACAAGTTTCATGATTTCTGATCCAGTAATGGCAACACAATCCCACCAACAATGGGCTGCTATGCTACACTATGCTAAACAGCCTGTTAGCGTAGCAGCCCTCAAAACAGAGCACCAAACCTGTAGTGTTAGTGTGCTGTTAGTGCCACTACACTACGTTACGCTGTGCTACAGTGCTTTTAGCAGCAAAAACGGCCCAAAAACTGCTAAAATGTGCTGTAGCACAGTTGTCGTGGAATTCCACTGCGCTAAGCTAAGCGTTAGCAGAATTCTGCTAAGGTACGCTACTGTTAGCATAGTGGGCCCATTGTTGATCCAACTATCTGAACCAAGAGAAGAAAAAAAACAACATTTATTGCAATTTGCCAAGCTTTCACTCCCAAAGCATGTCCTCCTTTGAACAGAGGTAGTAGTCTCAATTTTGCTGCTAAAATAATAATTTCTTTTCAAAAGCCAAGATGCTAGGCTAACCTCCAGGAACCTCATTTCTTTACAAGGAATTGCGGTTTTGGATGCAAATCAATTTGAAGTTCAGAAGTGTAAAATGTCACCCCAAACCTTATCATGCAATCATTTTTTGGAAAGTTTGACATGTATTCAAGAAAAAGCATGGGCTGAATTCACACAAACATGCGTGGGGTGTAACAAGAGCTACTATCCAAATTTTGTAGAGATGCGCCGTCGGGGATTCGAACCCCGGACTAAAGCTGTTTCCAGTGGAAGGCTTCAATGCTAACCACTACACCAACGGCGCTTGCGTCATCCATAGACCTGCGGACACCTCGATCGGGCCGTCATCCGCGCAGCCACTGCGGTTTCAAGCCACTGCGAAAGAAATTTGGGTTTGATTGAGATGCGATCGAAATCGACAAAGATGAAGATAATCGCCGCATATTTCAGAACTTGGGTCCTTGCGGGCCGTGGTTTTCATGTTCACAAATTGATGAAGTGAAGTGCGCCGGACCACTGGAGAGACAGTTCAACTTCAAGCCTGTTCGGCTGGTGTATGTAACCCGAATTCCGAGCCCCGGCCAACATGAGACAGTGCCCCAAGTGGCACCTGTGATGCGCGGAATTCGAGAGAAGTGAAAGAAAGACAAGGCGAATTTGACAGTCGCAAAGCTTACCAAACGGCATTCGATGATGACCCCGGGTTGTATGACCCGGGAATGTCTCCATTGTTCCCGGATTTTTCAGCCGCCTCGCTGAGGCCGAGATGGGCAGTGCCACTCCAGCATGAACTTGGCTGGGTCCTGCCTACATACCCTAACTGGCCTTGCGCCCAGAGTCAGACGCACCCATACTTGATCAGCCTCAGTGCACCTCATTTTCTCGCACAGCGGCTGTGTTAAACTCGAGCCCCACCCGGATTGCTAGAGAAGACATGGGGTCTGATATTCAATACTCCGATGAACAGAAACGAGCATGTGTTCAAAGCCATATTCCCTAGCTGCAAATTGTAACAAAAGAGCACTCATCCAAGATCAGACAGGGATTGGCTAATGTCACTGAGAATTGAAATGCAGACTGGATGCTTACATTGATCTCACCAGAACACTCCCTTGATAACACCCTCAAGTGAGGGTGAAATTAAACTTGATATCTACTAGTCCTATGATAATAAAACCGAAAATCCAAATCATCCTATCTAGTATTACTACAGATAACAATGCAGAAGAGGACAAAAACAGCCAAGCCAGCTAAGGACTACATAGCCGCTGCAAAAGCCTAGTCGGAAGCTCACCAGCAACAATTCAGCTGTCTATGCCTGCACGGTTTGCGCTCTCGCAAAAAACTGACTAAAATGAATTAATCCTGAACATTAGTCCGACCACTCTAACAAGAAAACTGCGCCGTCGGGGATTCGAACCCCGGACTAAAGCTGATTCACATGGAAGGCTTCAATGCTAACCACTACACCAACGGCGCCGATGACGTCAATCCTCGGTAAGGGGTATCCAATCAAAATGATTAACAAAAAAACCATGTGGATGTTGATTTTTGCGAAAAAGAGGACAACCAAATTGTTCTTCTTTGTATGTTTGACTCATTTACAAAAAAAACACGGGAGCATATAGTTGAAAAAATTGAAGATGATGATAATTGGGGGGTGGGGAAAGGAAGAGAGTGGTACATCAAGTAAAGAATGAAAAATACAAGTAGTGAGAGAAAGGAGACAGTTCGGCAACGATGTATAAAAGAATGAGCAAAATAAAAAAGAGATAGAAAGAGGTAAGAGATAAGGAGAATGATCAGGAAGGAAGGAAGGAGGGTGAAGGGGGCGGGAATGAGCACTGATTGGAACCGGGTCCAAGGAGGAGATCCTCGGCCATGGGTCTATAGATCCACACCTCGCCGCGAGAGATCGTCGCAAGGTCGTAAGTCCGTCGGATCGGGATCTGTTTCAGCGATTGCTCAATCACCGTGATCAGGCCCAATCTTGTCGGTGGACAATCTTCGGCTGACCGACTGGAACTGATCGTGCTTCCATTCGCTTCGACTATGATCGCCGTATGATCCTGTTTTTGTCGTTTTTCCGCACAGATTTTCGTAAAGAGAGAGAGAGAGAGAAGTAGAATAAGTATTACTCTTGTCATGCTGATGGAAAACACCAAAATGAAGTGGACAGAGAGAGAGAGAGAGCATACCGGATCGCCCAGAGTGAACGATAAGGAAGGGTTGACAGTATGGCAAGCAACGAGACGCCATTCGATGATATCACCAGGACGAATGACGCCAAAATCGTTGATTTGTTTCCAAGAGCCATGTCCCAGCCCAGGCCCGGTAGCCCGACCATGATAGAGGAGGATACCATGAGTGCGAGAGATGCTAGTGAGCGGAGGAGAGAGTTGCAGGTGAGGGGCGGGGAAAGCCTTGAGGGCTTCATTGGCCAAGTCCCAGCATTCGCCACGGGCAACATGTTGACGACTGTGTTCGGCATCGAAGGCGAAGCGGACGATTTCGGGGCCATAGGAGTCGGCGGCCTGGGCGAGACTGTGGCCGTCGATTTGGCCGGGTGGCGGCCGGAAGCGAGCCGATGCTTGACGCGGCGGATCGGCCCGGGATACGTCAAAGACTACCTCGCTCCATAGTTGCGACAGATCTGGGAAGAGCACATAGTTCGTCTGTCGGCGCTCGTTCCCCGTCTGTGTCCAACATGAGACCCGCTTCACATCCTGCAACCCCTGCATCGGCTTAGGTACCGGATCATCAGTCCGGTACCATTGCTCAGACCCACTCGTCCATTGTCGATAGCTCTTGAAATATCGGGCTATCTCTTCGGCCCGACAATGCTCTTGGTCCTGTTTTGGTGTCAGATGAGCCATTGAAGGTCGTGTTTGGAGAGAAACCTGAGGCGGCAATGAGGAGTTGTTTGTTCCTGCGTTGTCTCTTTGACCTGAAGACTGGAGAGGACAACGATCGGGAAATTTCCGACCGAAAAATTCATCGAGCATAGCAAAGAAGGCTTCTTTGTCTTGTTGAGTGAATTGTGAGAAGGGAGGGAATGGTATTTGTCCATGCTTTTGGTGGAGGAATCGGGGTGGATTGGAGAGGTTTGGTTGAGGCTGAGGAGGTGCAGTATTTTGCCAGTTTGTCGGTTTCTTCATCGTGATTGGTGGTGGAGGTTCTTCTGGATAACTCTGCTGGGGCCACTGCGAATTTTCTGATTCAATGGCAACGGATTCATCATATAGTTGCGAGTTTGACTTGGGTGGGGAGGGTGGGCCGTATCTAGATGTGGGTTGGACGGGAGCCATACTTGGTGGGCCATATCCATTTATGCTGGTTGGTGGTGGTCTGTATGGAGTGGTGCTGTCTGGTGCAGCTGTCGGCCTCTTGGCCACTGGCGGCGGCGGTGGTGGTGCTGGCTCATAAGATTCTTGATCCACGGCATCTTGGTTCTGAGCAGGAAGCTGCGAGTCAAATCTACGAATAGGTAGGTTTGCCCTGGACGGTGGTGGGGGTGGATTGCTTGCTTGACGGCTGGGCGGTGGTGGTGGGGGTGCGCCGAGCTTGTTTCTGGTGGGCGGAGGGGGTGGGGGGTTGTTTGATGGGCGGGAGTAGGTTGGTGGTGGTCGAGAGGAGATGGATGGGGGTGGTCGGGAAGATGAAGCGTTTTTTGGGTTGTCTGGTCCTTTGAAGACTCCTGATTTCTGACCGGCCTTATCGAGTGAAGAGTTGAAGCCTTTTCGAGCTGATTCGACCTTCTCGTTGAAGCTGGACAGGCCAGCTGGGATGAGTGGCATCGAGGAAAGAGCCAAGTGGTAAGCAAGTCGAGTGAAGTTCTTCTTTCTTTTGCTGGGTCCCTTGAATGAAGTGAAAGCTGCCGCCTTGTATATCCGGCACAGCCACGGACTCAACTCAGTACATAACAATCCGATGCCAAGTCGCCCATGATCCGGTGATCGGTCCGGCGCTCATCCATGACCATCACCCATCTCCGAATCCTGATCGGTCGAGACTCGAAAGTCTCAAACATCTCTTGAAGATTTGAAGCACTCGTAGCACATTGGTTAACTTCTTGAAAGTTGAATGCCTTCAGTTTCTAGCAATTTCAATATCACAAAACAGCAACCTCTGCTGAACAATAGTAGGACACTTCTTTTGCTAGCTACGATGTATTCATCCTAACAGTTTTTCAGTTGCTATATACTCTAGTCATTGATGAAAAGCAACAATCAGGTGTGATCAAATAAAAGCATTGTTATTACAAGTTGTTACAATTTCACATGAGATCTTCTCTCCTCACATGTCACTTCTTGGTCGTTGGTTAGATTTCTTTTATTCATAATCCTTGGGGGTTTCTTTTTCTCCCTCACATCTTGTGTGATCTCAAGTATTTACTTAAGCTCTCTACATGCTATATTTGCTTGCTGATAACAGAGCATCTATCTTTACTGCATGTTTCAGTGGAGTGACACTTGATCAGTCAGTCTTTTTGAGAGCACTCTCAAGCCTCCTTGGCAAATTATTCAAGGTTTCTTATCAGAGAGCTTATCTAACTTTTGGATTTATAGCCAGATTTTCTTCCTTCTTCTTTGATTAAAATTTTAACAGAAGTCTTCCACTCTTGATGATTCTTTCAGAGATGAATCAAACTAAAGATGGCCTTGTTGCACCCAGCTACCTATTGACACCTGGTTACTGGCTGCTTTTTTTAGCCAAAAAAAACCAGCACCAGGTACTGCATCTAGCGCCATCTGGCAAGTACCAGCTGTACTCTGGCCTCAGCAAACAATTGCCAGAAATCCTTACCAGTGAGTGGCTTGGTATACAGTAGTCCACCAAGGAGTTCAGTGAGGGCAGTGTACACAAGGTGCTTGGATGAAAGGGAGAACTACGGGGTACTTTGTCAATAGTCTGACTCATGGGGTCATTGTCAATGACTGTAGATAGCTGCAGTGTAAAATCTCTAGATTTCAAGAAGCATGAGAACAGATATACAGAGACAAACACTGGACTATTTATATAAATGAGATCATTGGTTGAGCTATTATAATCAGGCATAGAGCAGGCTAAGGGAAAAGGAAAAGTTGAATGAAAATAACAATCTTGTATAGAGCCTAGAGGAAAAAATGGAATGGGAGAACAAAGGATATTGTGTAGGAAAACTGAGGATATCATTGTTTTATTGAGAAAAAGCTTCACAAGCTCAAGGGTCTGAGTGATAAGGCATTGATGAAAATGAGAATTGTGATAAGTTGGATATTTTGAATGGTGCTGAGTATGTATATGTTTGTGACAACAAGGGTTCTTACCAGTGACCTGATTGGTCTCAACCAGGTCACCAAGGAGCGATTCTCCCCAGTAAACTGGCTGAGGAACCTTGGCCACCCCCTTGGTCTTGGTCAGCCAGTTACTGCATACAGGGGGACCGCCAACAGGTGCCAGGCTGAGGTACCTCCAAATGGGTACCCCAAGCACTGCAAACATCATGTACTTCCCCCATGTGGATAGCATTTGAAGAAGTGTGTGCAGAGGTTTTTTTTCTTCTCTTCATGAGCTTCCTTGATCATATCTGCATCAAAAATCACTGTTGTGGTGGTGGCTGGCACCAATAATTAGGGCAGTTCATGTTACACCAAAACTGTTGCTGATGTGGCACAAGGTTTGTTTGCTGATGCACAAACTTCATGAACTTTAATGGTGGGATTTTGACTCCAAAGGGGAGCCTCCCACTAAACTCTATTGCTTTCTAACAAACCTTAAAATAGGAATTTATAACAAGATTTGACTGCTGATGGTCAACATCAGCAGAAAGTGGTCAGCCCTAATGACAGTAAAGGGTATCAAATATGACCAAATCCACCAGTATTTAACTGACTGGCTTGGAAAAATCCACCAATTTTTGAGCATTTTGGTTCTTCCCTGCCCCCTTTGGTGATCCACTGATTCACAAGTTTATCTTTTTCAACATCCACTGGTTTGTAATGGTGTATTTCATCCATTTGTTACCCCCTAGTGAAACTGGTGTAAAAGGTTTGAAAATTGGAAATCTTGGGTGTTTTGTATCAATGGTGCAACAGAGACGATACAAGACGGTATCAGGCATTTATTTGTATTGTCTCAGAATTTGAATACCCAAAAATATCAGCTTTGTGTTGTCTCACTTTCCTGAGACAATACACACATATCATCTTTGGAAAGTGAGACAAGTATTCTGTATCATCTCAGATGACTGATCCCACCAAAATCATATTTGATACACAAGATATTTGGCTGTATTGAAGAAAAAAAAAAAACGATGATTTTTTTCATTTTTAAATCCAATTCCGAGACAATGGATTTTCTCACCAACAAAGGAGAAATACTGATACTGGTATCAGGCTCAAAATAAAGACAATACAATCTGATATGAATACATGTCACCTATCTGTTGCACCGTTGTTTGTATGCAAATTGGGGGAAAAACAGTGTGCCCTGAAGCAGGATGGTTTTTGTGTCCTGCTCTTCTCTCCCTGTCACATCTCTGTCACTCCCTTTCTCCCAGTTTCCAGATGAATATTCCTCTTTTCACCTTCTGTTCCACAACTCAGCCAATGTTGTATGTAGATAAATTGCCATGTTTCAGATTTAGGAAATAAAAAGCTCATCTGTTCTTCTATGCCTGTTCCCTGGAGTCTCTTCTGGATACAACTCCTTGTAGCGGGTGTGCTTTTCAGCCGTTGTGGTGAATAATACTGTGTTTCTACGCAGAAAATATAAAAATTTCTTATTATCTCTTTATACATTCAAGATATGGTAAAAACTACATCAAAAATGGAATCCTCTGGTAAAATAACCCCTAGTCACCCACTACAACCATACCTTTATCTCTTATAGTTTAGAAGTTACACGTATTTCAACCTGTCACGGGATATTTCTTGGATTCTTCACTCTAGCCATAGTCATTATGAATACAGGATGCATATTGCATACTGAATTACTTTGTAGTAAATTGAATACCTTTACATTATTTTGAATCCCTTTGTATTAGTGATATTGCATGTATGCATCCCTTTGATCATATATATGCATCCCTTTATTCATTCATATGCATCCCTTTGTAGTAGTATCTTTCAGCCTGTACCCTGGGGCCTAAATCCCTCACATTTTTCTATATAAGGAGGCCTCTGCCTGCCAGTTGTTCGGCGCACCAACCTTGAGCTCAATTTGGTAATCAGGAAAACCCACATAACCTATCTTATTCATGATTTGACTGCCACAGCCTACTCAGCTTCATCAGTGGATCTTTGCGGCTGAATTGGTTAAGTTGAAGATTAAAAGGATCAAGAGAATTGAGTAAAATTTTTGGTATTTGGATCAAGGGAGTCCAGACTATTACCAAAAGTATTAAATGGAGAAAAGGATCAACAGAATTGAGGGAAATTTGTGGTGTTTGGATCACAGCAGCCCAGACTATTACAGAATGAATTAAATAGAGAAAAAAGGTAGAAGTGACAATTGAGAGGAGCAAAACAAGTATGGGAGATACAGAATAAGAAACAGCAGAAATGGAAATGGACAAGGGACTTGGATGAGGCAAAGGGAACAAGTGAATATGTTGAAGATAGAGGGAAAAGGAAAAAATTCAATGATCAACAGAAAGGTAAAATCCCATGGTTTGGACTGTGTTGAAGGAAAAGTAGAACAAAGAATTAGAAAGCTATATAAGGAGGGGGAAACGGTAACAAATTTTGCCCAGAGACAGGTTCAGTAGGAGAATTAAGGTCTCATGTGACATCACTAGTGGAAGGGGAGATTTTGGTGCTTAATGTTATACTTTATAATAGTGGGGTTCACAATAGTGTTTTTTTACTTCTTGCACCAATTAGGGGGGTATGAAATATAACCAATTCCACCATTATTTAATTGACTGGTTTGAACAAAATCCACCATTTTTTTTAAAAATTATTGTTTCTTCATTTGTCCCCTTTTGGGGCCCATTGATCCAAAATTTTATTCTTGGGTGAGTTACTGGTATGTACCAGTTTCTTATATTTGACACCCCATATTATTCTTTTTCCTGCTTGCACATTTCTGACAACAGTGGGCCGCTACACTAAACGGACCACTAACGTTAGCGTAGCGGCCCTCAGAACAGCGCACCAAACCTGTAGTGTTAGCGCGCTGTTAGTGCCACTACGCTACGCTGCGCTACAGCGCTTTTAGCGGCAAAAACAGCCAAAAAACCGCTAAAATGCGCTGTAGCGCAGCGTAGTGGGCCCTTTTTTGCGGCCCACATGTGTAGCGTTAGCGCAGATACAGAAATCTGAGCTAACACTACGCTACAATGTAGCGTATTTGCGCTACACTACGCTAGGCTAACACTACTGTTAGCTTAGCTGGCCCAGCGTTGTTTCTGATGTAAAGTTTTCCAGAAAGAAAATTCAAACGTTTGGGCTCATTTTCAAGTCTGCAGCAGTGCTGTGGCCTCTTGTGGGGACTCAGAAAGCTTCTTGCAAGAAGCTATCATGAAACCCACTAAGGCTCTGTTTGGTTGGCCAAAATATTTGATGGGAGGCAAGAGCCGGGCCAGACTTTTTGTCAGGGATGCCAAGACAGCAAGGCCAGTTCACTCACCTCTAGAAGCTCTCTCAACTACTCTGCCCTGTCCTCCCAGCTGTTACAAGGAGGCTATCAGAGGCCAAAGGGGAGGAGACCTTGCTCTTCAGTTATACTGAATCCCCTGTAAACTTCTGCCACATCACAACTGAATCCCCTGGGAAGCACTGCCACAGCACAATACCGGCTGCCATGTGGGCTCTTTCAAAGATATAGGGAGATGGAAGTTCTGAGGGAGTGTCCAGAAATTCTTTCTGAGTTGGAGGAGCATCTATCCAAGCCGCCTTAGGAGAAAAATCTTGAAGATTATGCCGGGGGATGGGGATTATAACAATGTCACAAAGGGTGTTTTGTTGGTCACATCATTTTAGGTTATTCATCAAGGAATATACCATTTGCTTATATTCTCCATCCAAGAGGTACATTCTGGGCTGGAAAAATATTTACATCTATTCCAAAAATGCTTGTCCAACTTGACTTGGGTTTTTATTTTTTTATTTTTTAATTCTTTTGTTTTTACTGATTTGGGCCTGTCACAACTGAACTACTGGCCAATCATATTGAATTGGTTTCTTTTGTTTTCTTTCATACACCATGGGCTCTGGTGGACGGATACTTGATGGAGATTATTCCGTTGGCATGACCTGTGCCACCCCAACCACCCGACCAAATTTTTGGGGTGCTTGATAGCAGGGGGTGTAATCCCCCGCAGTTGGCTTGACCCTTCAACGTTGGCTGGCCAGCGGCGGCTTGACTGTAGTATGCCTGGTGACAATGGCTGCACAGCCACGTGCATACTAAGAAAGGATGCAATGGCATTGGCTTGAACTCACCTCCCACAGCACAGCACAGCATAGATACAGGGCTTACACAGCATGCAAACAGTTGATGTTTGCCTGAACGTCAATGTGACGTTTGATGTGCAAATGTCAACCAAATGGCGGGGCTGGGCTGACGTTTGTGTTGAACGTCACATTGATGATGGAACAGGAGAAAGAGGAACGCTCACATAGAGTATGTATTGCATGTAGATGAACAGGAACTAGTTTATATACATGCTTCAGAGGGGGCTAACGGCTGGTTAGGTGAGTTTGTCTGGTAACCCAGGGCTGGGTTCCAACAATTGATGTTACCCACAAAACGTCAACTGTTTGCATGTAGTGTTATCCAACTGTGCCAATGAGCTCATACCAGTCACCTTCATCCGGCATATATATTCATACAAATCTTATTTTGCTGTAGGATTTCATTTTTTTTCTCAAGTTTTTTCAAGTTTTTTTTTTTTTTTGAGGTGGCTCCAAATGTCTGGCATGAAGGGGGTGTAGAAAAAACATAAAAAAAGTTGTTTTTTTACTTCATTTTGAGAAATGGGGTCAAGCCGACGGTGGGGCTTTTTTGACCCTGAGGGCGGGCTGACGTTGGAATTTTGGCCTTTGTGCCAAAATTCGACGTTGGCCAGACCAATCTGGCAGGATTCCGTAAAGAGGGTTGAGGCCAACGGGTGCTTGACTGCGGGGTCAAGCTGACGCAGCGCCATTTCAAAAACCCAATCCATGGTGTATTCTTTTCTGTTCCAACCACATTTTGGTCATACTGGTAACTAGTCTATTTAAATCAGCTAGTTCACTGAGAAATCAAAATGGTTCTTTCCCATATCAAAATTGTGCCTACTCTGAGTCCCTCTGTGAGTGTCACATTAAGACTGGTCAAAAGTCCTCTCATTTCTCTATCTCATCCTCGTTCTTCAAGTTCCCCCAATATTGATTGATGATCAGGCAGGTTGTGTTTATTTCTCAACATGTGATGGCTGGGCTATGCTGCAGACCAAACTGCTTTGTGGAATGTGTTTCTTTCTATCATTAGTCTGGCATTAATCCCTGCTGGGTTGGTTGAATGAAGCATGAAAATAACATGATACATATGGTTGCAAGTTGCAAGCTTGCTGGGTCGACTTGATCCAAACTGTTCCATGCAGATCATGTTTGATGTTTGGACAACTCTTGGATGGATGAGCTTCTTGGAAAGGGCATGTGATGACGTCAATGCGACAAGTCTTCAGAGGACCCTGGAAACCCCCGAACTATGTGGGTAACCTAAATGTATGAATTTTTCAGAAAAAAACAAAAATCATACTCACGAAAGTGGTATGAATAAGTTTGGTTGCCTGAAAGGTTACTCACCAAACAGGCTCTAAATGTATGAATATCCGCTAACTTGGGGGAAAACCCCCCAAAAATGGCCCGGTCCCCGCCTCTTCCGGGGGATTTTCTCACTTTCCGGGGAGTTTTAGCCCGAGCATACTCACGAAATATGTATGAATTGGCCCAAATATGCCATTCCCCGGTGCCCCCCGATGTATGAATTTAGTCAAAATTCCGGTTTTTTCGTTACCCACATTTATAGGGGGTTTCCAGGGTCCTGTCTTCAGACGGCTTCTTCGACAAACTCGTGCCCAAGAGTCGCCGAAGTGGAAGAAAGCTTGGCAACCAGTCCAGCCCCCAACTGTACGAATACTCGGCAGTACATATCCACTCCGTTGGCAAGTCAATCGTATACGAGGCGTTGTTTGGTCAGTTGGCATAGGAGCACTACATTAACATACCAGTAAACATACAGCGAGTCCCAAGGACTGCTCATCGATGTGAATACATACGACGGTATCGTGTCCTGTACAACCGGCCAGGCTGATGATATTGGGTGGGGAAAGCACTTTTGTCGCCGAGCTGTACACACTTTATTCATCAAGTCGGCAAGCCCAAATAATGGTCCGGATCGATCGTGGACCGACCATGGAGCGTCGTCATTATGGTCAAGATGTCATGAAAACTGGTTGGTCTGTTGATGATCCGTTGCTATTGGCTCCGGCTCGACTTGACGACCGGCTGGGAGGGCTCAGAAGAGACGAGGTGATGTTGGGATGATCCGCATCTCTCGGTTTGGTCCTGAGCTGATCGATTTCTGAGGAAAACTCTCAAGGCTGACTCGAAAGTCGAAGAACTTTTATCGGTACATCCAAGATACAGCAGCAAAGAGTAGTGTGTACAGGCTACAACTACCACCACCCATCCTCACACAAACAAAGAGACTTAAATTTAGAAGGATAAGGAAATATTGAGCTTTACAAACCCTCCATCTTGGCAACCGTTATAAAAATCCCCCATCTTCGTGGCTGCTTCCCTCCCTCCCTCAGGCAATCATCATCCAGCTTGCCACATACATATCAATACCATAGATTCCTTGCCCAGTCGGTCTCCTCCGTTGTCTCTCTAACTCTCTAACCAATCCCTCGATCTCACCTGTTGACCGAGCTCTCTTGGGCTTCTCCCCCTTGCCCCGATCGCTCATCTGCCAAGGATTATCCTCGGGCCCTTGATACGCTCAGCAAGCAGCCTCAACGAGACCCCCAGCAACAGCAGCTAGGGCTACACCTCTTCTCAAGTAAACCCCATATCCACAAGAATACATAAAGCCTACTGCTCCCCTCGGTCTCCTCGCCCCTCCCACCACGATCTGGTCGTTGCCCTCTTCGCCATAACTGACTGCACCTTTTTTAAATATCTTTCCTCGAACCTTCCCCTGAGTTTTGCCATCATCATTCGCGTGTAATCATATAAATTTGATATATAGAACCTTTTTTTCTTCCTCTTTTACATAGCCTCATATATATTTACATAACCAAAAACAATACCCACACCCACGTCGAGCACGCCAGAAGGCAACCGACAGTGTCCAGCTTCCTGCTTCAGTCTACGTATAAAAAAACCCCCAACCCACTTTCTCCTGCTTATCCGTCCATCTTTCTCCCCCTGATCAACCAATCTACCTTCGGACCCAAGCAAAACTCTCGCTTCCTTGTTGAACTCAACACTTTTTAAACCATGTGGTCGACTTGCTTGACTTTCATCCTTGCAGCTCTCACTGGTGATTACAATTTCTCTCTCTTTCTCTCTTTCTACTTCTCAGTAATGACCATTCCAAACATTCTCTGATCTATTTTTGTCTCCCCTGTCCGTCATCAGCTTCCAGTTTGGCTGCCCCATCTCCGCTCACCACCTCGGCAACCACTGTCGCCACTCTGTCCGGCATTCAATCCGGCACCGCCCACGATGGGATCCTGATCCACGTGCTCCGCACCGAAGACTTGATTGCGGATAAACTCAAGGCGAAGCCACTATTGCTTGAGAGACTCTCCCACTTGCTCATCAAGGTGGAGCTCGGCAACCAGTCTGTGGCCGTCAATGGTCACTCTCTCCCCATGCTCCCTGGTTCCCATCCCCTGGAAGTTAGTGTGAAGCTGCAACAGGTCCAAATGCTCAAGATGCCCAAAGACAGTCCCCTCGTTCCCCTCGGACTCACCCCGCCTGAGGTCTTGAGCATCGCAGACAAATACATGTCCGAGGGGATCGTTGCTGCAATGCTCAGTGTCACCCAAGAGCCCTTGATCGTAGAGGCCATGCGTGAGGACAACACCCCCGTTCAGGCTGAAGCCTACAAGGTGACCATCGGAATGAAGGTATGTGACCCCACATTCTCTCGACCACCTCTTATGTCACAATCTTTTCTCGAACACCCGAACTGACTCTTCTTCGTCCTCGTCATCTAGATCTTAGAAGTTGACGGTATGTCCCTCGCCGAAACCGATCTTCCCCCGGTCGACCTACTTCACTTGATTGTTCATCCCGACCAAGCGGACCCGAGCAAAGTCGCCACCGTGACCACCCTTGCACCTGAAGCGCTCTCGGACTCCCAACCGGCCTCGAGTCCCGCAGGCATGCTCAATGCCGCCCTCGACACCACCCGGGCTTCGCTTGAATCCACCCTGAATGCGCTCAGCAATGCCATGCAAGGAATGGTCGCCCACGCCTCCGGTCTGCTCAACGGTTCCAGAGCCCGCAAGCCGTGCCACAAGCATCATCATCACCACCACCATCATCAGAAGGGTGCTGCCTCAAAGGCCAAGAAGCCGGTCGAGCTGGCTGCGGCCACCAAGGCTCCTGAGGCTACTTCTGAACACCCCGTCAGCCGCCACTCGGCTGCCTCTACCTTCCGCCACAGGATGGGATGCTTTGTCAAGATGGTTGCTCGCTCTTCCCTGGCCGTCCTCCTGCTCGGCCTTCCCCTAGCCCTTGTCTTGCTAGTCTTCAGTGCCCTCGTCTCCACCATCCTCCGTCGACGCCTTGAGGCCTCCACTGCCGCGGCCTCCACCCCGCCCGCTTACCAGGCCATTCCTGGCGACGAGAAACTGACCGAAGACCAACAAATCATCATCATTCACGCTGCAGACGCTGACAAGATCTAAAACCCCTTTCCTCCCCCTACCTCTCTCACTCGTTATCGCTCCTCTCTACGCATGCATGGACATTCTGTTATCACCCTTTTCCACCTCCAAAAACACCGTTGTGGTTTATCATGTAAAGCTTCGCTCGCCCCCGCTTTGTCCCTCCTCAGGCCTGTGACTGTACATGATAGCAGACTGACACAGAGAGTCTCTATTAACAGCCACACTTCTATGTTGTTTGTTTGCCTCATCGGTCCCCAATGTACTTTCCTCTGACTCATGTCCATCATCTATCATCGACATTCCAAATCGACTTCGAGAATGATGTAGGTAGATACGCATGATCACGTCCTTCCCCCCCTTCACTTTCTTCTTTTTTTGTGTGTGTGTTTTTTTTGCCTTCTTCCTCTTTGTCAGACCATCCGAATTTTGTGTGAAATTTGATGGTGTGACAGCTGGTCATTCAAGCGGTTGACTTGAGCCTCATCCCGTCTTCACATTCGCCGAGAGAAAAAATGCACATTGAAATTGTACTTTGTATTACACCAAACACCCAACGGAAGTTGCATGCAAACCCAAAAACGCCTGCCGCGTTTGACAGCGTACATGGACGCCTTGAGTGTCGGTAGACCTTCGATTAGTCTTGACCTCCATCGGAATTTGAGGGCATGACTACTCGTTTGTGGTGAGAGATACCCTTGGACCCTTGGAATGGATGTGCAATCGTGGGGTTCAATGCGCAGCTGTCTACGACCTCTCCCCAGACTCCCAGACCTCAAGCGCCTTTCAGCCACTGTCAGGTATCTGTCAGGTATCTATTGAACCTCAAAACGCAAATAAAAAAAACATCTTGGTGGCCGAAAAGCTGGCCCAAACCCATGATTAACTAGATGAGCCGAGTCCGCTTTGCTGTCGAATACTACCTTTCACCCTTGTACATAACTCCTGTTTCTAACTCTGCGCATTTCTTGATCGTCTCAGAGAGGCTACGCCCCTAACTCAATCACAGAGGGGGGGGGGGGGGGGGGCGCCCTCCCCCAGGGCCCCTCCGACACCGGTCGGCGCAATGCGACCAGTGTTTTACCACATTGACCTGGGGGCAGTGAATTAGTTAAGTTAGGCTACGCTCGGAGTTGAAACTTCCTCCACAACAAAGACTGCCTGAACACTCCCGATCTACGTATGTACGTACCAGGCTCGATTTACTGCTCAACAAACAAGGGGCCGACATTCCCGAAATCGATGTATCACTTTGCCAAGTATATACATAACTGCTTCGAAAGCTTTTCAAAAGCTCAAATGGTCCAGACCCTTTGCGGTAGTCTCATCATGATCACAAACAAGCGTTTGGTCCCGCTCTAAGATAGACACGTCAACCAAAAGTGAATACGTGACAAGAATAACGTTTTTCTTCATTGAGAGCCAATCCTGGAGTGGTCGGATTGACTGTGCCTTAACAACTCCTGTCCCTGCGGAATGTGGTCGATGGAGCTGAATGGACCTGAAAATTGTCTGACCCTTTCCTGACGACAGACAATGATAGGAAAGATTCGCCATATCTTTTGCTCGCCAAGTTTGCTCTGTATGCTCAAAGCTGTGCCCATTTCCCTACCGTCAGACTCCGTTAAGTCAAACTAGATATCTTTGTAGTCGCCTCTGCAGACCAATGTCCGGCCGATCACTGGAGAGGTTTTTCAAGGGGGCGCTGAGAGGGAGAGGCCTGTGTGGTGATTTCTGTATGGCCCATGGAGTTAAAGGTCCCAGATAAGTAACATTCATTCATGAAGATGCCCCAGTTATTTAATCTTGTTCCACGAGAATGGAGCCGTTGGAAGAGACATGAGGCGATAAATAACAGCACTTCGATTGACTGCTGTCTCCGAAAAAGCCACCCAGTCTCAACACTTGATTTGAATTACCATCCACTCATAGATTTTTTTTATAAAAAAAATGCATTCCAAATCTGTGCTCATGAGTCTGCTCATCACCGCTACTAGTTGCATGGAACATCTAGCCAACCTTGAAGTGGAGACAAGTGAAGCTTCTGGGGTACATGGTGGGTTATAATTATGTCTTCATGTAGCATTATGAAGCTTTGTGGAATCTCAACTTCATATAGTTTTTGGATACTAATGGATATTACTTAAAATTTCCTCCCCAACCACATGTAAAAATTCTCACAGCCCCAATCTATGCCCCAGAAAAACTAGCAGTGTTGTCTCACACATCCGTGCCAGAATTTCCAGACAATCCACCATCTACAATTCCTGTCCCTGAAAAACTTCAAAGCTTGGCTCATACAGGTGAAACATACCTGAAAGAGACAACAGTGGTTGAAGACTTCCAAAGAAATGCACTCACGTTGGAGCATTTGTCCAAGGAGCAATGTGAGTCCATTCAAGTCACCCATTTTTATGAAATTCCTACATTAATGACTGGGAAAATTCCCTTTTGATGTAGACTCAAAATTGCAGAAAAACTGGGCAGAAAATACGGGTGAGTTTTTTTTTTTTTTTTTTTTTTTTTAAAAAACAAAGAGGGCCAAATTAGAAACCTCAACAATGGGTCAACAGACCGATTATTGAATCCATGATGGGAGGAGGATCATTTTTCCATATGGTCAGCATTGCAGGCCCTGGCTGGGGTGATTTGGAACTTTTTCTGCTCTAGTACAGGCTGTAAAGCTTCCCAAGGAGATATCCTCCTGAGTAGACTGGTGCACTGCCAAAGGGGTTGTATTGGTTACACCCTCCCAAAGTTCAACCAGAGGTGGCCAACATAAGATTGCTCTTCCTGACCCATTTTAAACTGGCCAGGCCCATCAATGTGTGACCCCTTTGCTGTAATGTCTCAATGAGCCCAGCTGATATGAAATTGGTCTGGGAGACTAATTTCATATTGGCTGCCTCTGTTTGACTTTACTACGGGGTCTGTAACCAATACATCCCCTTGCACATTGGTTCAAGGGCAAAAGCCCTTTAAGGAGACTTTGATAATTAATGCTGTTGGTGTTGCCAGGTTTCTTGTAAAGGGAGCCTTATTAATGGCAAATATGGTACAAGTTTACGTCATGCCAGTGACTCCTTTCTTGAGGGCACATCTTGTACCAATTTCCAGAAGAAAAAATGCTGAAACTTTGGTAGGCAGAATTGATCCTGTCCAAGACATAAACCTTCCATATTGGGAATATTTCTTTTCTTGGACCTCAAAACAAATGTTTTTGAAGTACTTCTAACATTGAAACAATCTGGTTTTATAGAAAAGGTCAAAAGGCTTGCTGAATCTTCAGAAGAAATTTTGAATAGTCAATTGGAAGTCAATAAACAGTTCCTTTGGATGGAAAACTTCAAAAGTGAAAGCCAAGAGCATCCAAACCTTTCTGAATCAAGGGCTATTGTTGAGTTATTAATCCAGAAGGTTTCTGTACTCAAACAACTAAGGCTCTTGGAATTGGGTAAATTGGACCCACTTATGGTAACAAAATTGATCAGAGAGGAGAAGAAAGATGATTCAGATATCAAGGATTGGATTGAACATCTTCTGGAAATCATTGAAGCCCCAAAGACAATGAAAATTTGGAAGAAATTTTTCAGATCTTTTTTGGATGAGATAAAAGGACTAGTTGTAGATGAAGATAATCCATTTAAAAGTTTTGAAGAAGAGTTCAATTCAAAAGATTACACCATACCCACATGGAGTTATGTGTTGAAACACATAAATTTTCTGTATAGGAATGGTTTCATCAATCAAGAAGAGTTTAGGCAAATTTTTCATGACAAGAAATTTGTTCAGCAATTAGTTTATTATGCTTCTCACACGTTAGGAGACTTAAATGGTCCTGAATCTGTTTCAAAACATTGGGGATGGTTATCTTTCAATGACTCATTTGAAGGTTCGTTCGTTCTTCATATTCAACCAAGACTCTACAAATTATGATTCAGAAACTGACTTTATGCAATTTTTTTCATTTATCTTTGAAGATCTTGGTCCAAAAGATGAAAACATTTTGACTTACTATTCATTAGTAAGGAAGATGCAAAGACTGGGTGTTCAACTAGGCCTAGATCAATCATACCCAGATTGGGAAACAATAACCAAAGATTTACTCAGCCATAATTACATTATTGAGTTGACATCCAATGATAGAAAACATTCAATTAAAACAAAAACTGTAAATTCAAAAAATCCTTCTAACTACCCATATGAGCTCAAGAATGATTTTGCAAATATAGTTAAATTGTTTGAACACATAGACAGTGGGAAGGCTGATGTAGAAGATTTAGAAACTCTCTCCAGAAAGAATGAAGAGGATGCCAGAAACCTTATTCATCTTAATCTTGAAAACCAAACACATCTTTCAGCTGCCATGTTTCAATTTATAGATTTTTTGGAAAAGAATTTTGCTAGAAATATCATCAAAGAATTGGTTAAAACCCCTGAGGAATTGAAGATGTTTGAATATAAGAAAACATTTATGTTATCATTTTCAAGGATGAGTGCATCAATTGAACTGACAGAGTCTTATTGGTATTATCTGAAGAATTTAGAGGGAAATGCAATCAGTAAAGGTTTGTCAAAACTGAAGAAGATGAAGAGTGAATTACATGATCATGAGGATGAGTTTCTGCAATTATGTTTCAAAGCCAATGAGGATGGTAAAATATTTGAATGGTTCACTAGCCACAAAGTCTTGTATCATTTTTTCAGACATTCCAAGCTATATAAATCATACTGGTCCTACCATGATGAATTGGAAAAATTTATTAGTAAAAGCTCTGGAGTTTGAATCAAATTTGTTTCAACTGTTTTTTGCCACTCTTACATTTTTTCTGTTCTGTTCATTTCTTTGTAACACTACTTTGATTCCATGCATAACAATTTGTCAATCTGATTTGATGAAATGCTAATTCTGCATTCTTAGTGTGTAAGTGTTTGAAATGTGAATATTAAATATCAAAATGTGCAAGCTAAATGCAGCATATGAATTTTATGAGAATTGAGAATGGCTTGTTTACATTATTAAAATTAAGATAGAAGGATTTTCTTCAAGCAGGAACAATAAAGTGTAAAATCATAGTTGTGGATAGTTTGAATTGAAGATTCTTCTATGAAATTGCTTAATTTAAACAATGGCATAACCTATGGAACCCATGTATGAAGTAATGAGAACAGACAATAGCATGAAGCCAAGAACGTTAGGGTAGAAACTTTGGGTAATTTCCTGGGAAAAGGAGATATTTCTGAATGGGATCCTGTAAAAAAACTGGAAATCGGAGAACAGCGTATTACTCTCAGCCTTGAGCCCTGTGGGCACAGTCTTGGGGCGGGCAGAATTTATTCAAGTCTTGATGAAAACAGGTTTTATAATTGAAACTAGAACCAAAACTATGCAAAGGAAAAAATGGAAGGATCATTATGGGAATTTTGGATGGGGTGGAGATTGTTTGTTGAGGTTTGAGGCCAAGCAGATGGGCTGGAGACTTTAGGGGATGGTCCAGATAGATGAGTCAAGGTCAAAGATGATAAAGCTGCTGAGGAAAGAAATGAAGGATGGTCACTGAGATGGGTCTTTATAGTACATCAGTTACTTGTTGAACTTGTGGTTGATTTAGGTTTAGATTTTTTGAGATTGAAGCAATTGAGTTGTGGTCGTTGGAGTGTTTCAGAGGAGAGTAGAGATAGATAGATAGATGTGGAAGATAAGAGAAGAAAAGAATAAAATACAGGCTAGAGAGAGAGAAAGAGAGGAAAGAAGAGGGGTGGAGAGCAGAGATCATGGAGTGTGGAGTGCAAAAATTCTTATTCCAAGTGTATAAGATCACTTGTTGACCAACCCAAAATTAACCTCTCCAGACTTTTTCAACAATATGTTCTGGTTCTGCAGCCTTTTTGGTAGGTGTGATCCACTTAATCAAGAGCATCAGCGCGATGGCCCCACATTGATCAAAGATAATGCCTTCATGAACCAGCTGAAATATGGCCCCTTTTCTCTTGGAAACAACACCTTGATCAATCAGCTGAAATTGACCTCTGATATCAAATCTTCTTCCTCTACTAGGAGTCCAACTCACTGCAATGTCACTGTCACTAAACACATCCAATGTGCCAAAAGAACCATTCTAAAAAATCAAGCAGATCTTGGACATGCTGGGACAAATTCAACAGACACCGAATAAAATCAGATGTGCACTTTATTTTTTTCTGAGGCAAGAAGCTGTATTGAATCAAACAATTCTGCTTCAATCTTGATTGTTCCAAAACTAGGCTCTCCACAAGCCAGTTTCAAGGCCAAAACTAATGCTTCCAGATGGAATAGTTGTACCTTGCATGGAATATCACTCCAGTGTTTTGCTCAAGTTGGCCATCACTTGGTTAAGAGGATCTGAATAGGATTCTTTCTTGGTTGGTTGGAAAATTGAAATGGGTGTGGCCAATATTGTTGTGGATTTTAGCATCTTTCAGATCAATAATCATCTCAATACCTAACTATGATTTTGAACATCAACCATCACTCAAAATTCTTGGCAAAAAAAACATTCAACTAGCTGCAATAGCATTGATATCAATCATCAAACTATTAGGAGTATCTTTGAGCAAACTATTCACATTCAAAATGAACAACATGGCACTTCCAAATTATACAGGGATGCTTACCCACCAACTGTAAAGCTTACAGAATTTGATTTTGTGTGTTATTTCCAAACTCAGTTCTCTTCAGTCAATGTTGATCAGCAATGATGTGTATGATATACATTTGATCACAAATTTTAATGAGATTTTTATCAGACTTCTGGCTCTATTCCAGTCCTATTTACTCAACATATTTTTTGTGGTTCCTCTAGCTCCAGAATCCAATGGATTTCCATATCAATATTAGCTCAAAACTTTGTATGTCACTTGAAACACCCAATTCATAATAGCTGCTCATAACATTAGCTGTCTTAGCTTCTCATTTCTCAATAATACTTCATAGGTTTTTGACTTCTTCTCTTTTTTCATCTTTTTCATCTCTTTTTTTCTCTTTTTTTTCTCTCTTTCTATCTCCCTTTTTTCTTCTTTATTTGATTGATGTAAACCGGCCTCAGTCCAAGGTTTTGTACAAAATATGAGAAGTGAAACCTTACCCTGGCAGTTTCTGTTTTTAAGCTGATTTCAATTATCTATTTTGCATGTATCTACAATGACCACTTATTGAGATCAGCAAATCATGTACAGATTGGACAGGGAAAAAAAGGTGGACATGTTACCCAGATATTTGTAGACATTAAGCCTTTAAATTTATTCATCTTGGTTTATCCTCTGGTATCAGTTTGCAAGACTATATCATGTCCACTTCAAGTGCAGTGGTGAATCTGCCTTTTCCCCTAGCATGTAAATATGAGGCAAAGGTAAGAAAGCACAACCTCTTCTAAAGTTTCTTTTGCACTGGGTCTAATTTTCTTGGGGAGCAAGATGTGCAACCCCTGAGAATTGGTGTACAGTTGCAGACAGCAAAAAACAACCATGCCCCCTCCCCCCTCTAAAAAATATAGTTTTGACACACACACCCTCCCCCTGGGGGGGGGGGGGGGAAGGGGGGGGGGAAAAACACCCAAAATATTTTTTTTTTCATTTTTAATTTTCCCAGGGGTGTTTACCTTAACATATAAACACTAAGGATTTTCCTTGAGGGGTTTAATTTTTTTTTTTTATATTTTAAAAGGATATTAAGGGAAATGGGGACATTAAGGCCAACCTAAAACCATAAAAATGGGTTGGGGGAAGCAAATTTTTGAGGGTAAAATAAATATTTTACCCCAAAATTTCCTGGGAATCCATTTTTTTTGAAAATTTAAGGGTGGCTGTAAATTTCAAAAACCTTGAGGGTCAAAAAAACACAAAAAGGGGAAAAAAAAAAAAAAAATTTTATTTGGTGGGTCAAAAATTTGGACCACCTGAAAATGAAAGGGGGGGTTTTGGCGTTCACAACTGGAAAAAATCCTTAGCCATCTCCCTGTTGATAATACTAATCCACACCATTGGCAAATTGTCTTGTAGACCCAACTTTGGTTCAAACAACCAAGGGGGTTGATATTTCTCGCTGGATGAGGTAGTGTACCATAGGACCCATGCCTGGGTCCTATGGGACGGCCCAGGTCCTAAACGCATATAAATATGCGTTTAGGACCTAAGGTTGGGCGTGCACGCAGGCACGCCAACCCTGCAGGGTATACCCCTGCAGGCGGATGGCTTGCCTGCCTGCACGCCATTCTGCAATGGCATGCGCGTGGAGGGTTGGCTTGCGGTTATCAACCCCCAACCAACCATAATTCTTTCTCCAATTTGTATAGTTTGAAAGAGTTTGAAATCATTGCACCAGAGCAAATCAATCCAGCTGATGAGGTTGAAAAATATCTGGAAGAATTTCTTCTGGCTTGTTCAGGTCAGCCAACCAACACATTGAGTGGTATAAACTGACTGCACACAACAATTACTCACAGTGGATGTGAGATAAATTAATTATCTGGGTTAAACAAGATGTATAACCTGCTCAACAAAAAGGAACTACACCCAATTGATCAGTTTCCATTTCTTTATCTCAATTTGGATACTCCTAGCTAACCAGGTTGTACAACCTTATCAGCTGTGAATATTATTCCAATTGCATCATGTTTTATAAGCTGATTCACATGGAGAAATCAGTTCTTGATTCTTTGAGATGGCTACCAGAGAATAATTCAAAACATGTATGAAGCTGAAAGGGAAGGTAAATTTCCAATGCAGAAATTGAGCAATCTGACACATAATTGAGCAATCTGACACATGTACCAAATATTTGATGCAAACAGTGTTTTCTGTATGTTAAAAATAAAACCTGAGACCCTCCTTCTAATTTGTCACATTTCAATTCTACTCGAAGTGGGGATGGTAAGGCCCAGGGTCTCAGATAGGGTTATGTTTTCATTTATGTATTTGCTTCAAAGTTTGAACCAGGCACAGTCTTTGAAAATTTACAGATAAATTTTGATTTTTTTACTAGGAGAATCAGGATTTAAATAGATGTTACAAATGGTCTTGGTTAGCTTCTTATGAAAATAACTGCTAAACCTTCCCACTTCAAAAACTCTGGTTCAATTTTTCATCATAAGATAAGATTATAAAAATGCATTCAAAATCTGCACTCATAAGCCTGCTTATCACTACTACTTGTTGCATGGAGCATCTAGCCAACCTTGAACCAAAGAAAACTGAGTCTTCAGCTGTCCATGGTGGGAATATTCCTTTCACCTATCTTTCAAAAAACTTGATATAGTTATCACATACTCATTTTCTTCCTTGAACATTATTATCTATCATCCCTCCCATACACAAAAAACATCCTAACAGACCTCATGAATTCACCAAAACATCCAGAAGAATCATCTCAACCTTTGAATCTAGAGTTTCAAGAAAAGCCACAGTCCTCATCTCCTGGAAAAAGTGGCATCTCTACTCATAGAGACCAAGAAGACTTTATTGGTCTAACCACATTTGAAGGTTTGGCAGAAGATAAATTCCCACTGAATCATATGTCTGAGGAGCAATGTTAGTTCATTCAAAACAAATTCTGAATAAGATTGATCATCACTGTCTGATAAATAAAAAATTTAAGTCTCAATGTTGGCAAAAAACTGGTCAGAAAACCATGGTGAGTTTTTTTCTCAAATAATTCCCTAATAACCAATCCCAAAGATTGGGGAAAATTTCCTGAATTTACTCAGAGTTTGTAATGTAAATTCTTAACATTACCAGCTGGTTGGGCCCTGTGAGGGAGATATTTACCTTTCTTATACTCCAGTACATGATTTTACTCTTACCAAGCCTTGAAGCAGGCCTTGGTAAACTGGGTCAGATGCTAACCCATTATATAGAATCCCAGAATCAAACCCTTGGCCAGGTTTGTAATAAATAATCATGCTGATCAATCCTGAACTTGACCAGTTCATCAAGTATAATAATCCATGGAATACTAGTCATAAGTTACTTTTTCAGACATCCTTTTCAGATCACAAATCTATTAGGTATTATTTTTAAATCACATACTTGTAGGGTGATACAATAGGGGGTATCAAATATAACCAAATCCACCATTAATTAATTGACTGGTTTGAAAAAATCCACCCTTTTTTAAACATGTTGGTTATCCATTTAACCCCTTTTGGGGCCCATTTATGCAAAAAAAAGTTTTTGGAAAAGTGACTGGTTTCTGATGGTGGATTTCCTATATTTGATACCCCCTAATAGGGGGTATCAAATATAGGTGAATCCAAATTTATTTGATTGACTGGTTTTGAAAAACCCCCCATTTTTTCAACATGCTGGCTCTTCATCTTGCCCCTTTTGGGGACCCATTGGTGAAAACAGATATTTTTTGGTTTCTGATGGTGGATTTCTTATATTTGATAACCCCTAATGAAAGACATTATCTTCATAAAGATCTTCATCCTCACAATCTTTGTAAATTATGATACTCAACTGGAAGCCCTTTTATTCACTCTTTGAATGCACTAAATCCTTGTGCTTTCTGGTGTTCCTTCATTAATCCAATTAGGAAATATCACCATGGGTCTGGCCCAACCAGCTGGAATTGTTGATCAATGATTAGTTTTTTTTTTGGTTTGGGGATTTACTGTTGCTTTCTTCAAAAAGCTATTTTTCATGAGAATGTTTTCTTTTGCCCTCAAAAAAATATAAAAAAAATCATGGAATACTAACATCTAAACAAATTACGAGCTACAGAACAGGTGGAAAAGCTCCATGCATTTTCAGAAGAAATTGAAGACATTTATTCTGAAGTCCAGAAACAGTTCCATTCCATGAAAGATTCTCACCAAGGGGAAATTCAAGAGCATCCAGAGATGTCCAAAGCAAGGCATATTGTTGATTCATCAATGCAGAAGGTTTCTGTCCTCAGTCAAATGAAGCTCTTTGAATTAGGAAAATTGGAAACAGGGTTGATGTTCAAAATAATCAAAGAAGAGCACAACAATAATGGAGAGATTGAAGATTGGATCAACAAGCTTTTAGTTACAATTGAAGCACCCAACAGAAAGGAACTTCTTTCAAAACTTTTTGATGGATTTTTGGATGAACTCAAAGGATTGATTGTAAATGAAAACAATCCATTTATGAAAGAATTTGAGGAACAATTTCATTCTGAAGATGGTAACATTCCACTATGGAGTTATGTATTCAAAAACATACATTTTCTATACAAGAATGGGTTTATCAATCAACAAGAGTTCAGAAAAATCTTTCATGACAAAAACTTTGTCCAGAAATTAGTTGGTTATGCCTACCATATTTTGAGTGACCTGGATGGTCCTGAATCTGTCTCCAAATATTGGGTATGGCTCACAATCAATGAATCATTCAAAGGTTTGTAGTTTATCTGACATCTTCATGTCTACTGTGTTTCTCAGTTTCTATCTTTTCCATATTGAGGATCTGACTTGACTTTGTTTGGCTTTATGATACTGAAGATCTTGGGCCCCAAGAGGAAAAACTTTTGACATACTGTTCCTTAGTAAGAAAAATACAAAGGCTTGGTGATCAGCTATACAAAGACCACTCCAACCCCAAATGGGAAAAAATTTCCAAAGATTTAATAAGTCATGATTACATTATGAATTTTATATTCCCAGATGTTGCGGAAGATTCAACCAAGAGAAAAGAATTAGATTTGAAATCTGATCTTCATCTTCCAGAAGATCTCCGGAATGATGTTAAAAATTTGATTGAACTGATTGAAAGGATAGATAGCTCAAAGCCTTATGCAACCAAATTTGTAAAATCAATGTTTCAAGAGGATCAAGAGACTTCAGGAAACTTTCAAGATTCTAAAGTGAGAAATCAAGTCTATCTTTCAGCTTCTATCTTCCAGCTTTTAGATTTTATTACAAGGGAGTTTTCTGAAGATATTATAAGAGAAGAAGCAGGAAAAACAGCTGAAGAAATGAAGATGTTTGAATATAAGAAGGAATTTATGTTATTGTTTTCAAAAATGTGTGGATCAGGTGAAGTGTCATATTCTTATTGGTTAAACCTCAAAGATGAACAAGTGGCTTCATTCTTTTCTCACAAGATACCCCGGTATGAAGGTTTAAAAAAACTCAAGCAGATGGCAATTGAATCAGATACACTTAACACACAATTTTATAAGTTTTGTTCCAAAGCTGATGAAGATCCTATCATTTTTGAATGGTTTAAAAGTCACAAAGTCTTGTTTGATTTTTTCCAAGTTTCCCAGGCACACCTTCTTGATCAATGGCCATATCATGAAGAACTGCACAAATTACTTGATAAACTTTCTGTAAAAGTGTAAACAAAGTTTACCTTTTTTTCCTTTGCTTTTTGTTCTTCGTTTCTCACATTTTTTACAGTTTCAATTTGATATGGATTCCATGGCCATTTAACTTTTTGATGTCATTCTAAGCCCTTGCAGATTTCATCTGAAAATACTTGAAGGTGACATAATTTTTTGTACTTACAGGAGAGAGTACCATAATCTCCCTGCAAACTATCCCCAGTGTTTTTTTGCAAAGAAAATACACAATATCACACCAAAATGTGAAGTTGTAAGGCCTTTTACAACCCTACTTGACACAAGTCTGCTTTTTTTTCAGTTCTATGAAACACCTCAATGCAAAGATCCAAGAATAGAAGGCATGATGTAGACAAAAAGAAAACTGTCCATCAAGCCAATTTAAGTATGTAGGCACCAGGAAAAATCAATGGTCACTTGATGACAAGTGACCTAAAGGCCCCTCTGTAATCTGAGATGTCCCTTGGTGGCAATTGATAATTGATTTTTTCCTGGTGAGGGCAGGTGGGCTAGGATGCAAGAAATTTTGATGGACCCTTGTACGTTGGTTGAGATGACAACATGGAAGGACCATGTTCAGCGGGTGGATTGTAATAAATGGGTAAAAAAACGCTCAAAATGGCACTCAAGTGATAATTGCAAACTGCGAAAGAAAAAAAAGGAGACGTAAAATGAACTATATGTAGCTTAGTCCAACAAAAGATTGGAGAACTATGTACATTTGATCTATATAATGAAAACAAAAGAAAAGCGGGGGCCTAGGCAGCAGCGGGCTCGGCAACAACGGGGGCGGATGGATCGTCGATCTTCTCAGCCGATTCGTCTTCTTTCTTATTTTCGCTGACGGCGATCTTGAGGCTCAAAGCGCGACCATCGATCTCCTTCGCTTGGACTTCCTCCAAGGCCTTCAGTTGGTTCTCTTGGTCCTCAAAATCGACAAACCCGAACCCTTTCGATCGGCCGACAGTCGTCCCATACCTTCGACAAACTACATGAGCTGAGGCCACTTTGTAGCCCGAGAACAACTCCTTCAGCTTTTCATCCGTCACACTGAATGGCAAGTTGGCTACAAATAACAGCCTAAAAAGTTCCAAAACAGGGGGTTTTACGAGTTGAGTTCAGAACGATCTACTTCGAAAAAAAAGAACATAGTCTAGAGTCTTTGACAAACGTTTGGCTGGGTGGACCCTCTGGTGTTCCTTTAACTCGCCTGGGGCGTCTCTCGCCGCGAGGCTCGCCCGAAGATGATTCTCCTTTTGGTCGCCTGGTGCGAGTGCGTTTCGAACGAGGTTTGCTTGAAGTGTCTCCCTCGTTGTTAGCGGAAGCGTCAGTCACCGCACCATGGTCGTCACCGTTGGTTTCCGGTTTAGCTTCACCAGCTGGACGACGGGCTCGACCTTGCCTCCTGTTTCGAGTGCGCCCCGTGCCACTTTTGGTACGTCTGGCTGAGGGGGCATCGGCCGAGTTATCTTGATCCTCGTCTGTACCCTTGGCATCGCCATTGGTTTGGCGAGCTTTGGACGCCTTCGCAGCTCTGGCCGCCGCACGTGGTACTGCGCCTCCGGGTGTGCCCTGGACCGAGCAATCGCACGTAGTAGGTGTATGTAAGCAACAGTTGCGATATTAACAGAGACGGGGAGATGCTGCGAGCTTACAGGAGCAGGCTTGGCGATCTCGACGTTGATGGCACGGCCGTCAATTTCATTTTTGTCTGTCGCCGCCACAGCTTTCTCGGCCTCTTCGCAAGTGGTAAACGTGACGAAGCCGTATCCCAAGGAACGCGTCCCACGATGGATGATTTGCACGTCAGAGCTTTGTAGTTGTCGATAAATAGATAGAGATGAAGCAAGTGCGAAATAATGTACGTGGGGAGGACGATCTCGTCAGTGACATCATACTACGATCATCAGGAATTGACACAACTTACATTTCGCCATGCTTGCCAAACATTTCTCGCAGTTGGTCATCTTTGGTTGCAAAACTGAGATTGCCGATGAAAACCTGGGAGACAAAGATAGACAAACCATCAGTTGAAGCTACAGGCAAACATGAAATAAAGTGATTGGAGAAGTCTCGGGGCAGAGAGAATAGTGGTACATCGTTAGATTTAGTAGGAAGTTGACTGGAGTAGCAAACCAATCAATGGTCTGGACAGATGCATGAGGTGGTATCAAATTTGGGGAAGAGTATAATGACATCCTATTAGATAATTTAGTCCCACCTTTTTGCCCAACTCTTGAATGGTGGAAGCTTCCAATGCATCAGTGATGGTAGCTACACCATCGGTTCCATTGGCAGTCGGATTAGTACCGGCGTCTTTATTGGTGGTGGACATGGTTTTTGTTTGTTTGATGTGTTGAATTGTTTGGATCGGTTCTTCTGAGTAGTTCTGATGGGGGAAACAAAAACCCTGCAATGCGGTTTACTATTTTTTTTTCTTGGTAAGTGGGTGTTCAGAGTGTTCGGTCAAGAATAGTCGAACTAACCAATGAATCGGGTAGTTTTAGGTGGACAGAGTTAAGCGATAACGGGACTCTGGACTGAGGGACAAGGATGAGAGATGAGGCTAGAGGGGGGAGATGGAGGAGAAAGCGGAAGACAATTCTTTATGGAACTCGGGAAGACCTGTTGACCATCTGCCAGACGAGGCTATGAATTGTACTCAGTCCTTGACTTGGTTTTCGATCGGTTTTGGGAAAAAATTCAATCGGTTTTTACCATTTCCGGGGGGTTTCTGCCTCATCAAACCCCCCGGGCTGGCTCGATCGTCATGCCTGAACATCCACTTGACCATTTCCGAGGTTTCAGTGCAAGATTTATTCATGACATCATCCTCATGTCTTTTGGTCTTTTGAGTGTACGTATTCTTACTGTGTGTGCGATGGCATTCACTCAGCTTTCTGGTTTCTGCACATAACTCCTTTGGAAACTTCAAATGATAGCATTCCTGAGGAGGAGGGAAGAGCCCGATGACCAGTGTTCAACCTGTGTACCACACCATCAAGTCAAAGGATACCTAATTCTTGAAGCAGAAATGTCTGCCACTTGCTCTGGAATGTTAAGAATAACAATCAACCTGTTGTGGTGAGTCTCAGTCAAGGGGTTTGTTGGTGTAATGATTTTGGCACAAGAAGTGCTTTTGTTTTTCAAGCCCATTTCACTCATTAGTGGTAATAAATACATATATCATGCAGGAGTCCTCTCTGTGTCTGTTTGTAAGTGCTGCATTCTTAATAATATTTACTTGCGCAATTAATCACTATTCTCAGAGATCAAGGTTATGGACTTGATGTTCAGAGTTTTTTTTGGGTTGATTTGCAAGATTGACTGCTAGTGCTCATGGAAAAAAAAAGATGATCATCTGGAAATAAAACCTTTGAAATTGGGCATTCCCAATAAGCTGTGAATCATTGTTCTGTTTCTTCAGTCCAAGCAACCCATCCTTCTGTTTTGGAAAAGAATTGAGGCAAATTGGTGGTAAATTTCCATCATCACCATGTTGATCAATCAAAGTACGTACATTGCATGGGGTGAAGGGGATATAACTTCTCTGATTTCAATGGGTAGCAAATCTTTTTGATAGTTAGTTTACAATCCTCAGTTTGATAGTCTTTCTCTTGAAATAAGTATTTTAACAGCCTATTTGTCAACATCAGGAGACCATCTTGATAAATTTGGGAACCTTCTTAACGGATGAAGCTCAACAAAAGATTTGCTGATACATGCCCTCCTAGTTCAGAACTACCCTACTGCTTATTTCTGGCTTACTTCGATGGGAGATGAGGGAAACATCAGCAGATATTATCAAAGAAAAAAAAGAAAAGAAAACCTGTTTTGTGATCAGTTTCATGTTTAGAAGACACTCCTTCTTAGAGGCCTCTATAAAGAAGCGCTCTCTCTCATCATCACTGGTCAAAACTGCACCCCACTTCATCCAGATCTACTCACAAACAGGGTAAAGCAACCTTGCCTGCTCCTCCTGCGGACATTTGAAGACCCCGCACAAGGCGAGACCGACTTGAAACCTCTTGAAACGGATCAGCTAAATTGAAAGTACCCATCATCATACATACAACGACGAAGGAGGTGGCTGTGCTCCCTTCGGCCCTCTGGTAGTAGGTATTGATCAAGTCAGCGTATGTATGAATTGGGCGTCAAGTCGAGTTGTCTGTTGTGTGGAATTTCTTGGAATAGAGCGCTCTTGAAACGGCTTTGAAGCTCACACAACCGCACTCGGCACAGACTTCCTTCTCGGCTCGGAAGAGCTGGATGTGTTGTGCTTGTGGGACGATACGAGCCATCCTAGTCGATTCGGACTCTCGGGGTGAGCTCAGCAGAGTGATCGTGGTTACCAAGTCCCAAGCTGGGAGATACAGGTTTTTCGTGTAGCAGTGTGTTGGTCAACAAGGTGAACTCAGACTAATCCAACTCGGTTCATCGACCCTACCAACAACAGCACTCTCTTGACCATCCCCCCCATCTGCAGCTTCACGCTCAGACTTGCCGATTCCTCATCTTCCTCTCCCCTTATACATGCATGCCCTCTCCACTTCCCCCGATTTCTTCCCAGCCGAGGAAAACATCTTAGCCTGTCCAGAGAAACATCGCCAGTCCTGTTGATCCTTTCCGCTCCAACATCTTCGTAAACTCGTCCACTCCTGCCTCCGCATCCTTCTTCTTGGCGCACTTCCATCTGTTCCTTCCCTCTTCCGCTCTCCCCGTCCTAATCCGTTGAGCTCGTTAATTAACTCACAAGCTAAGCGGACCTCCAGACCCATCAGTCAATTAAATCAAGTCTTTTTTTTTCCTCACCGGCGAACAGGGCAACCTACTCAAACCCAAAATAAATCAATAAAAATATCATTTTTCAAAAAAAAGCACCAATTTCCATCCTGCCAGTCCTACAACCTTTTCTTGACTCCGACCATATAAATAATAATAACTAAATACAGATTCATACTTGAGCCACATACATATACCCCTTCCCCGATTTGGTCTGGGGATACTTTTAGTCCTCAGTCTGCCTCTCTCTTGACTTGTCTCGTCTCCTCCTCAAACCTTCAAGATTCCCGCTCTCATCGTGGTTCTCATCACTAATTTTATCTTTACTCCCGTCCTAACAGCCTTCATCACCCCCCATCTATTACATCCGCAACCTAAAGCTCGCCGTGATGACGAAGAGGCTGAAAATCATGATTGGCCCTAATCGGGAAGAGATGGAAATTGCTCATGTCAACGATTCAAGCCAGCCGACCATCATCAACTCCGAATACTTTGTCGGTCGGGTCCTCATCAAAATCAGGGACTTTGAAGGCATCACTGCCGATGGCTCTCCCCCCATCCGCAATCATGTCTACTTTGATGGTCGCAGCAGAAAGTTTGATATCCAGATCGAAGGTCGATTTAAGAAACGCGAAGGAGTTGAACTTTACTCTGGCGAGGAAATCCACTTTGGCAGGTAAATAGAACACATAATATATACTTTCTTACCCAATCACACCCAACCTTATCAATCACAATAACGCAACCTTGCTGATTCTTTGCTCCTCCTGCAGTGATTTTGATCACATCGTAGATTTTCCAAAGAGCGCATTCAATGCTGGGATGCGAGTTGCCAGATGGATCGACCCCAACGTATTTTATGACCTTACACCTCCAAGCGAAAGACCATTCATCATGAGTCCCTACCTGGCTTGCATGAACACACTCTGTGCTTGGCCATGCCCAGATCGACTGAGTGATGCGCTAGTCTGTCTACGCCAATCCGACCGTGAAGATGACCAGTATCTCAACAGTGAAGCGGACGATATGGTGCCCATGGAACAAGTTGATCCGGCTGAGGTCGGCGCCACGGCTGGAAAGAAGAAGATCGGTCGTCATCCCCGCCGATACTGGCGCTTCATCGGCTTGAAATCTGATCATGGTCGAATCGACGCATTTATCGCCAAGAACAGCCATTTGTTAGTACAACCAATTGAAGACTCCGTAGAGCCTGCAGGTCAGCCCAATCCAGACAGTGATAGCATGACAACTGGGCAGACCACCGATAACGAAGATGAGGAATTTGACGACGCCGATGCATTCTCTTGTCGAGCTCCATCTTCTCATGCCACCTATTCAACTGCCGTCGAAGGAGTTGGTGACAACAGGCCTGCGATCAATTCTGGTTCATCTTATCGCTTTTCACCCCGTCGTATCTTCCCTCGTCATCAGATCAGCCTTGGTGCCGGTATGCGGGATCTCTACCAGGATGCTGAAATTGAAGCGAATGAGCGGGAAGGCGAGGCGCAAGCCCAACGAATGATTGAGATGATGGGAGAAGATGACACGATGCCCTCGAAACGTCCCTCCCCTGGGCCAGAGCTCTCGCCTACACCTAATGGGCAGGAGAGCGATGAGGCACTGAAGAAAAGTAGTAACAAAGTCAAACACGGCTTGAAGAAACTCAAGATTGCGTTCAAGAAGATAACCCCTAACCTATCTTCAGCTTCCACATCTACTCCAAGTCCTTCCAGCAATACTCCCAGCAAACGCAAGTCGTATTCGACCGCATTTTCTAGCAAGGCCCGGTGTGATAATGTGGTCAGTCCGGCACCAAGTACGGTTTCGCGTGCGGCTTCCAGGACCCTACCCGGTCCTCATCTGCGCGATAGCTCACCGACTTTGAGAAACGATTCTCGCTCGGCTGAAACTGTGAAAAATCTCGCACGAAGCTCTTCACTGATGCCGCGACCTCAATCACACTACCCCCTGTCCAGTGTTCCCCCGTCAATTCAAGCAGAGCAATACGCCAAGACTCGGAGTACCTCGCTAGATCAAACTCGCTCACCCGATTTTGCTGCTACGATGGGAGCGCTTAAGATGCAGAGTACCGAATCCAGCCTGTTTACTATTCACCAGGCGGCCGCCAGCACCGTTGAAAACTCGAGCCCTCCGCAAGGGTCGTCCAGGTTATCCATTGTAAAGAGTGACAAGGAAGATTCTACCAGATTATCATCTTCTTCCACCAGCCACTCGCGATCAAATCGGACTAGCGCCACCTCAAGAAGCCCGGTTTGCAGCGATGTGGATGAAGAACCGGATGCAGAACTTCCCAAACCCAAAGAAAGTCGGTTTACAGAACTCTCAGACTACAGTCAAGCTAAGGATCAAGCGACCGCCGACTCCCCAGCTCAGATCAGCGGCCAGAGGCAGACAAGTAGCCCCACAGCCATCAACAGCGAAGTTGGAGGCTCGCCTAGGCCAGGCTCGAGTGTTAACCACACTCCAGTTTCTAGATCACGTACGTCTCTCTTGGAATCAGAAAAGAGAAACACAACACCAGAGGGATCGGCCAGCAATTCCGCCGCCCCCACTGTCAACCAGGCACCTTCAACCCCGATATCAAAATCTTTGACCCAAACGAGCACCGCCCCAAGTCAGGCCGAAATTGATGAGGCGCCAGAACTCGAAGACGTCGAAGTCGGCGATCTCATGTTCGCTAATATGCTCAACCTGGCTGGCGAATCGCCTCAGAGCCATGATCCTGTTCAGGAACAATTAGGCCCCTGGAGGTTCAAGAATCCGACCACTGATATCCTCGAGGTTGGTTTCTTCTTTCCTCCCAGACACTGCTTTCTCCCGCTTCGTGCCTTCCTTGAAACTCAAAACTGAATTTTTAATATTTTTGCTACGATGGTAGGATAATACATTTGTTTTCCTTGATAAGAGTGTGAACGTACAGAAACGACGGAAACACTTTTCTGAGAATGGAGGGAAATTTCGAAAGGCCTTCACATATGACCCTGATGTGTGAGTCTAAAACCCATTACGGCCTTGCTTGTGATTTTCGAAAAGAAAAGAAAAAATCTTGATGCTGATAACCATTCCCTTTTTTCCCATCATCACAGGGTCTATGCCACTTCTTTCTTTTCTCCCTTCATGGACTTCAACACCTTCGACCTCGCTATTGGTCCTGTCAAGATCAACGTTGCTAAAGTCTTTGGAGACATGCCTGTTAGATATACTCTCCGATCCACTCGAATCGATGCGCGTAACAACGTGGAGGAAGAGATCTTTGTCACTATCTCCTTCGAACTGGTCGATGCTTAGTTTCTTTTTTTTGTCCCTCTTTGTTTGCCTTTTTCTCATCTCCCTTTTGGCTTCCCCCTTCTTTTTGGTTTGGACAATTTTAATCGCTTCTTTTTTTGTTGCTTTCTCTTCTCTTCTGAAGCATTTCTTTTTCTCTATCCCTCCCCCTGCCCTTTCTGCGATACATTTTTTTCTTCCCCTCTTTACTGCTTTCTTCAAATGTTCTGCTTCAATGTAAAAATTATTGTCAGGATCACTACTATTACATTACCTCATTTAATTTAATTATCTCATTATCATCATCTTCTTTATTGTTTTTTCTCCTTCAGATTTTCTTTTTGATTTTTTACTTTGAACTTGATAGTAAAGCTATAAGCAACTCATGAGTGTGTCTTGAGATAGATACAACAATTGTCCTTGTCATCTCTTCTTTTTTCCATCTCTCTCTCTCTCTCTCAAACACATTTTTATTTTTATTTCCTTCTTGTTGGTCTTTTTTGTTCCTTTGCGGGTGTTGTGGTGCTTTGATTTAAGTCGTTCTTATTTCCTCCTCATTGTACATAACTTTTCTATATATATACATTCATACAAATACATGCATAGCCATAATAAACATACAAACAAATATACCCAAATAAACACATACATCTATATATCTTCATAGATATATTTGTATGTACTCCTCTCTCTCACTTCACTTGTTCTATGATATTTTCTGATTACCTTCATTTTTAGACCCCTTTTTTCCTGCAGAGATGTGATCAAAGAAGGGACTGCTCAATCTTACAACAGGGTAGTTCACGTTGCAGCCAATTCCTTGCTGGTCTTGAACAAGGTTTGTTTGCCAATGCACAAACCTGCTGAACCTTGATTGATAGCACTGGAGCTACAGTGGTTTATGGGAAACCCTGCTGTTTCCCCCTTTGAGTACTACAGGGGGCTCAACTAGAGTTGAGCTGGGTAGATGATGGGTAGCATGATGAACTTAGCCTTACATCATTTTTCATCAAGTGAGCATTGTTTTTTCCTGGTGCTTAAATTAGCCATCTTAATAAAGTTTGGTTGCTGATGTCAACCATCCTGGGAACTGCTATCAAACATTTGATACATTTTGTTTTGTTTCTCAAACAGGTTTAATGTGCCCAAGTTTTGGAAATTTTTCACTAACTACTTTCAACATTTTGTCACAATTATGTATTTTTTTTTGGTGCAAAAAGGACTCAACAAAGGATTCAAGGTGGGGCATGTCTATAATTCTTGCATTATGTCATATTTGATAAATTTATGTGTGCTGCACATTGCAGCCTTCTATTACTTTATTACAAGCATCAACTCCTGGCCAAGGGCCCACATCAAGGACAAATTTAATTGATATTTCCATTATCAATTTTGCAACACCCTCTGGCAATATGTAATCAAACAGGTTTGATTTGCTTGGATGTCTGTTGGGTCCCCTCAGTGAGTCATTCATACAAGCTGTAACAAATATCCTGCATGGATTTATTACAAGGTCTGTTGTTCAGACCAGGCAGTGCCCTGCCACAATATTCTTGGCTGTACAATGGGTAGACAGTGAAAAGTGGCTGCTTATTTCGGATTCCAGAGCTCTGAAACACAAACTTGAAGTCATAAGACTTACTCAGCTGGTGCATAATAGCTCCCAAAAAATGAATATGAAATAATAAAAGCAAAAAATAAAGTTTGAAAATTTGTGAAAAATAAAAAATAAACTCAATTTTTTTCAAAAGCTTTAATATTCATTTTGAGGGAGTGGGAGTGCTGAGAGAAAGGAAGAATGGAACATGGGAAGAATGATCATAAATGAAAAAAATTGGAACCAAAAAAGGTTTGGCCAGGTTGGTGGTCCAGATTGGAGCCAAAACAGTAAATTCTAGTGCTTTGCTGCAATTGAACACTCCATCCAAGAGGGTGTTAGGAAAATTCTTCCTCTGATTAGTAATCTCTGTTAATAATTGTGCTGGTTTTTATCAGTGATTTATGTGATACGCTGTGCCAGTGGCAGGCAAATCATAACTGTATTGCCTTAGCAGGGTCACTGCCACAGAAAAACCGGCCCTTTGTTTTCCATATGTGATGATTAGAAGCCCCATGTAAGGATGTCATTAGGTAAAAGCATAATGTGTATATTAATACAAGCTTATTGATACTACACATTATGTACACAAGAAAGTGAAAAGAGACAAGTTGTATGTAAGAAAAAGGTTGTATTTGAGAGAATCATTATTTTTTACTCATGATACTAAAGCCAGCTATGTCCAATCTTACATATCTAATATTACGTAATTAGCTAAAACACTCATGTGCCTGAATCCAGATTTTTCTGGCACATACTCCCAGTTTATTTCCCAATTCATTCATATCAACACATCTTTCTGATACGCTCTGGCAACAATAAATGGGTTTGGTATGTATATGGCACTTTGGAAGTCTGGTGATGCATGGGACCAACACTTCAACAAATGGGGTATTTGCAGTGTATTGACAACATGTATCATTTCAGGTATCATGGTCTTTATGTATTTTTTTTCATGACCAATGTGGTTCTATTGAGGGTCTTATTCATTTAATCTGGCTCTTGGTCATATATTTTGATACAATTACTCATGATACAAACTGTGTATTGTATTTGTTGCAGCATTGATGGAACAGCACATCTGATGAACAGCCATGTACCCACAATTGAGGGTGGGTATTTCCAGATGCTAGAGTGTCTATATAAGACACCCCTAATAAAACAATTTTATGTTCCACAGGAAATCTGAGCACTCACTTTCCCAACAGCATACCTTCTGACTTGAATAGAATCATCAGGTAATTCATTTTAATTCCATTCACCGTATTTTATCTATATACATTCCACTGGTATATTTAGCCAGATCAAAATTTATTCATTAAGTTTAGATGAGATATATCAAATTGCTGAATATTAACTTCCTTAATAGTTCCAAATTCATTCTGATTTAGGGATCAACATATTTTCAAACAAAACAAATTCATTAGAAAAACCCATTACAATGAGCAACACTTTCACTTCCTTGATTGCCATCATTGTATTGATGTTGCAAATAAATTACACCATTTCCGGCTATACTGGAAGTAATACCTGGGTGTGGTGTTCAAGCTGTGAAATTTACCATGAGAAATCCCTTGCATGTTAAAAGCCAAGGTGCGTAGATTTCTCAAAAAAGGCATCAATTTTGGATTTTCAGCAGTTTGAACCTTCAAACACATACTCAACTCATTCTCTCACACCATACTATGCTTGTACCAACTCATCAGTTCCCCTTAAAAAAGAAGAAGTTGAACAATAGAAATTCATCAAGAAGAAATTGAGAAATTCAACAAATCTGATCCTTACTTGTTCTTGTTGAAATTGTTTCTATTCCTGTTTCACTGGATTTTCCCAAAAATTGTTTCCTTGAGTGCAATTCTTCTCTCTCAAACTCACCAGGTGTATTTCCCTCAACACTGAAAAATTTCATTTTCTAAAATTTCAATTACACTTTCACACCAAAACACTCCCTGTCAATATATATAGACCCCCTTGAATTTGGAATGGTGTTTGTTGGAAGTTGAAAGTCTCTCAGTTCCCCTTTTTTACATCTGTGACTTTTTTCCTCCCCCCCCATATTCAATATTCATCTCTTCTTCTGTCCCACAACTTGTCTCTCTGTGTTGCAATTTACACCACTGGCCAAACCAACATTGTCAAGTATGGAATTTCACCTCTATGTCAATTCTTTTTTATTCATTCTTCATTTCATCTGAACATGCATGTAGTTCTCTCCTGATGTCCCACAACTCAGCCCCCAGTTGTAATAGCTTATACAATGCTCATCATGTTGAAATAACAGCATCAGTTCTTCTTTGTCTGTTTCCTGAGATAACTCATACAGTCTGTTGCAGCAAGTACACTTTTCCGTCGTGCAAGCTAGCAGCACTATTATCCATCTTTGAAGGCTCTTCAACCTTGTTGTTTCCTCTTGATTATGTTTCTTCCAGTAAACCTTCCCTCTCTCTCCATGGCATATTTGCCTAGTTTCATCAAGTATGGTTATGAATCATACAACAATGACTCTGACTCCTCCATACCTGAGTGAGCAGGCAACACTATTGCTCCCCCAACCTCTACTTTCAGCCTCCATGGTACTAACCTAACCGTTGGTGCTATGGGTGTTGATAAGGTGATTGAATGATTATGATGTATAGATAATGTTTAATTTTCTATTTCAACTATGGCCAGGCTAACCTGGAATAGACCAAAGATATAGAAAATATATAAAAAATTTAGGGCCTAAATAAAAACACGGTTTTGCAGCTGCACAGCACACACAGATTCTGCGTTTAAACACAGTTTTTTAATTAATTTAGATTTTTGTCACTATTTCCTTCAAACTCGTTGATGCTTAGTTTCTTTTTGGTCCCTCTCTGTTTGCCTTTTTCTGATCTCCCTTTGGCTTCAACCTTTTTAGTTTGGAAAATTTTGATTGCTTCTTTTTTTGTTGCTTTCTCTTCTCTTCTGAAGCATTTCTTTTTCCCTATCCCTCCCATTCCCATTTTTGTGAAACATTTCATCTTCCCCTCTTTACTATTTTCTGCTTCAATGTAAAAATTATGTCAGGATTACTACTATTACATCACTACATATAATTTAATTATCTCATTATCATCATCTTCTTTATTGTTTTTTCTCTTTCAGATTTTCTTTTTGATTTTTTACTTTGAACTTGATAGTAAAGCTATAGGCAACTGATGAGTGTGTCTTGAGATAGATACAACAACCCCTTTTTTTGTCTTTGTCTTCTTCTCTCTCTCAACCACATCTTTATTTTTATTTCCTTCTTGTTGGTCTTTTTTGTTCCTTTGCGGGTGTTGTGGTGCTTTGATTTAAGCCGTTCTTATTTCCTCCTCATTGTACAGTGGGTGGACCATTATTTTTGGCTGCTTGTTTTGGATTCTACAGCTTCAAAGCACAAACTTCAAGTCACAAGACTTGGTGA